CGGGATGTGAGGGGGAAAAATAAAGGAATGGATGGGAAAAAATGGGCAGAAAATTAAAAATATGGGGGGAAAATACAAATACGGGGTGAAAAAAGGGGGATAAAAAAAAGGATAAATAAAAAAGGGGATGAGGAATAAAATGGGATTGAGGGGAAAAAAAGGGATAAAAATGGGATGAAGGAAAATAAAAATAAATAGGTCAAAAAAGGGGATAAATAATTAAAAAATAGAGCCCAAGAGTGGGATAAATAAAGGGATTAAAAAAAAAAAGAGGGAATAAAATAATAAAAATAATTGGGATAAAAATAAACAGGGAAAAAATCAAAGGAATAAACAGGAATTCCTGGGGATTTTTGGGGGGTAAAAAAGTGGAATTTGGGGGATTTTTTGGGGGGTAAAAAGAGGAATTTGAGGGATTTTTTTGGGGGGGGGTAAAAAAGTGGAAATTGTGGGATAAAAAAGTGGAATTTGGGGGAATTTTTTCGGGGGAGTAAAAAGTGGAATTTGGGGGGTAAAAAATGTGGAATTTTGGGGGTTTTTTGGGGTTAAAAAAGCAGAATTTGGGTGTTTTTTTGGGGGGTGGGGCCGATCCACCCTTTGGGAATTCTGAGCCGTGGAAAAAACAACCCCAGTTTGGGGCTTTTTATGGAAAAAAAAAATCATCCAAAAAAAGCCGGAACTCGGCCCTGGGGCGGAGCCTTTGGAGCTTTTCCAGCCGGGAATTCCAGTCGGGAATTCCAGCCAAGAAACCTCCGCCTTTGCTGCTTCTCCCTCTTTTTTAACCCTGGAAAAAAACCCAAAAACCCCTCTTGGATTGGAAAATTGGGATTTTTTTAGGGGGGGGATTTGTTGAGATTTTGTGGAAAAATCCAGGAAATGAGGTGGGGAAAAAAAAAAAAAATCCCAGGAAAAATTCCCTCCTGGAATTTTCATTCCTGGATTTTTTTAACCCCCTGGGATGGTAAAATTCCCCTGGAAAATGGGATTATTCCCTCCAAAATAAAACCCAAAAACAGGGAAAAGTGGGAAAAAAGAGGGAAAAGGGGGTGGGAAAATGCTCTTTTTTTTCCATCAGAAATTGGGATTTTTGGGAGGCGGGAATGGAGGATTTTGGAGGGGGGGGGAAAGGAGGGAAAAGTGGGATCAGATCCCACCTGGAATGATGGAACTCCTTGGAAAATTCCCCTGGATTTCCCTCCCCCATTTTTTTCTTTTTTAATGGGAATTTTTGGGGTGGGATTTAAGGAGGATCCAAAACAAAAAAAAAATCTCTGGAACTCCATTCAGGGAAAAAAAAATTGGAATTTTGGGAATAATAATAATAATAATAAAAAAAAAAGCTGCGATTCTGCCCCTTTTTTTCATGGGAATTTTCGAGGTGGGAAAAAAGATCCCAAAAATCTCCAAAAATAAAGGGAAAGTTTGGAATTTTCATCCCTTTTTTTTTTGGGGGGGGGGGGGATTTTTGGGGATGGAATTTGGGAAGAATCCTGGAAAAGATCCCCCAAAAAACCTCATTTTATGGGAAAAAAGAGGAGGAAGGGGAAGAGTTTTGTGCTTGTTCCCAATCCCAGGGATTTGGGATCATCCCCCTGTTCCCATCCTGGAAATTTGGGATCATCCCCCTGTTCCCATCCCAAGGATTCTGGGATGTTCCCAACCCTCCTCAGTCACAGTTCCTATGGAATTCCGAGCTCTCCCTCCCATCCCAAAATCCCAGGGTTCTTTTACCTGGAATTCCCCCAGGGAATCCAGGTCTGGCCCATCCCAAAATTCCAGGTCTGACCCATCCCAAAATTCCAGGCCTGTCCCATCCCAATCCCAATCCCAGGGGTTCCTCAGCCCCAATTCCCAAGGAATTCCCATCTCTCCATCCCATCCCAATCCCAATCCCATTCCAGGGAGGTTCCTCACCCCCACTTCCCAAGGAATTTCCATTTCTCCATCCCAATTCCCAAGGAATTGGTGTCTCTCCATCCATCCCATCCCATCCCAATCCCATTCCAGGGGTTCCTCAGCCCCAATTCCCAAGGAATTCCCATCCCAATCCCATCCCAGGGAGTTCCTCACCCCCAATTCCCAAGGAATTCCCATCTCTCCATCCCATTCCAGGGGGTTCCTCAGCCCCAATTCCCAAGGAATTCCCATCCCAATCCCAAAATCCCAGGGGTTCCTCACCCCCAATTCCCGTGGGATTCCAATCTCTCCATCCCCAATCCCAATCCCCATTTTTGGGGGGGTTTTTGGGGTTTTTTGGGGGTTGGGGGTGTCTCCAATTCCCATTTTTCCCAATTTTTTTTCCCCCTTTTTTCCATCCTCATCCCTTCCCTGCTCCTCTGCTCGACGGCCCCGTTTTGGTGCCGGTGCCGTTACCGGTGCCAGGACAATTTTGGGGGGGTTTTGGGGGAGTTTTTGGGGTTTTTTTGGAGGTTGGGGGTGTCTCCAATTCCTAATTTTTCCCCCTTTTCCATCCTCATCCCTTCCCTCCTCATCTCCTCAACGTCCCGTTGGTTCCCACGCCCCATTTCGGTGCCAGTGTCACCGTTACGTTACCAGGATGATTTGGGGGTTTTTGGGGGTTTTGGGGGTTGGGGGTGTCTCCAATTCCCAATTTCCCCCTTTTTCCATCCTCATCCCTTCCCTCCTCATCTCCTCAACGTCCCGTTGGCTCCCAGGCCCCCTTTCGGTGCCGTTACCGGTGCCGTTACCGGTGCCGTTACCTGTGGTGTTGCCAATTTTGGGGGGGTTTTGGGGGTGGATTTTGGGGGAATTTTGGGGGGTTGGGGGTGTCTCCAATTCCCAATTTTTCCCCCTTTTTTCCATCCTCATCCCTTCTCTCCTCATCTCCTCAAAATCCCTGTTTTGGTGCCGGTGCCGTTACCGTTACCAGGACGATTTTGGGGGGGTTTTAGGGGAGTTTTTGGGGTTTTTTTGGGGGTTGGGGGTGTCTCCAATTCCCAATTTTTCCCCCCTTTCTCCATCCTCATCCCTTCCCTCCTCATCTCCTCAACGTCCCGTTGGTTCCCACGCCCCCATTTCGGTGCCAGTGTCACCGTTACCGTTACCAGGATGATTTGGGGGGGTTTTGGGGGGTTTTTTGGGGGTTGGGGGTGTCTCCAATTCCCAATTTTTCCCCCTTTTTCCATCCTCATCCCTTCCCTCCTCTCCTCAACGTCCCGTTGGCTCCCAGGCCCCCCTTTCGGTGCCGTTACCGGTGCTGTTACCAGGACGATTTTGGGGGGGTTTTGGGGGTCAGAAAGGGGTTTTGGGGGTATCTCCAATTCCCAATTTTTCCCCCCTTTTTCCATCCTCATCCCTTCCCTCCTCATCTCCTCAACATCCTGTTGGCTCCCCTTTTGGGCCGGTGCCGGTGTCACCGTTACCGTTACCAGGACAATTTTGGGGTGGATTTTGGGGGAATTTTTAGGGGTTGGGGGTGTCTCCAATTCCCAATTTCCCCCTCTCCATCCTCATCCCTTCCCTCCTCTCCTCAACGTCCCGTTGGCCCCCGTTTCGGGTCGGTGCCGTTTTGGTGCCGCCGTTACCGTTACCGGGACGATTTTGGGGGGTTTTTGGGGGGCAAAAAGGGGCTTTGGGGGGGTCTCCAATTCCCAATTTTTCCCCCCTTTCCATCCTCATCCTTTCCTTCCTCATCTCCTCAACGTCCCATTGGCTCCCCTTTCGAACCGGTGCCATTTTGGTGCCGGTGTCGCCGTTACCGTTACCAGGACAATTTTGGGGGGGTTTTTGGGGGTCAAAAAGGGGATTGGGGGTGTCTCCAATTCCCAATTTCCCCCTCTCCATCCTCATCCCTTCCCTCATCTCCTCAACGTCCCGTTGGCTCCCCTTTCGAACCGGTGCCGTTTTGGTGCCGCCGTTACCGTTACCGGGACGATTTCAGGGGTTGCTTCTTGGGGAAGGGGGGGGTCAAAAAGGGGTCTCCAATTCCCAATTTTCCCCCTTTCCATCCTCATCCCTTCCCTCCTCCTCTCCTCAACGTCCCGTTGGCTCCCAGGCCCCCCTTTCGGGTCGGTGCTGTTTCGGTGCCGGTGTCACCGTTACCGTTACCAGGACAATTTTGGGGGAGTTTTTGGGGGTCAAAAAGGGGTCTCCAATTCCCAATTTTTCCCCCCTTTTTCCATCCTCATCCCTTCCCTCCTCTCCTCAACGTCCCGTTGGCCCCCTTTCGAACCGGTGCCGTTCCGGTGTCACCGTTACCGTTACCAGGACAATTTTGGGGGAGTTTTGGGGGGTCAAAAAGGGGATTGGGGGTGTCTCCAATTCCCAATTTCCCCCCTTTTTCCATCCTCATCCCTTCCCTCCTCCTCTCCTCAACGTCCCGTTGGCTCCCCTTTCGGGCCGGTGCCGTTTTGGTGCCGCCGTTACCGTTACCGGGACAATTTTGGGGGTGGATTTTGGGGGGTTTTTGGGGGTTGGGGGTCTCCAATTCCCAATTTTTCCCCCCTTTTTCCATCCTCATCCCTTCCCTCCTCATCTCCTCAACGTCCCGTTGGCTCCCCTTTCGAACCGGTGCCGTTGCCGCCGTTACCGTTACCGGGACGATTTCGGGGGGGTTTTGGGGGGTCAAAAAGGGGCTTTGGGGGTGTCTCCAATTCCCAATTTCCCCCTTTCCGTCCTCATCCCTTCCCTCCTCATCTCCTCAACGTCCCGTTGGCTCCCCTTTCGGGCCGGTGCCGTTTTGGTGCCGCCGTTACCGTTACCGAGACGATTTCAGGGTTGCTTCTTGGGGAAGGGGGGGTCAAAAAGGGGGTCTCCAATCCCCAATTTTTTTCCACTCCCCTCCCCCTTCTCCCTCTCCCTCTCTCTCTCTCCATCCTCATCCCTTCCCCGGTCATCTGGGCAACGTCCTGCTGGCCCCGAGGCCGCCGTTGTGGGGTGGTGGTGGCGGTGCCGGCTCGTGGTGCCTGCGGTGGGGGAGCTGTGGTGGGTGCTGAGGGTGCTGGGGGTGCTGAGGGTGCTGAGGGGGGTGCTGAGGGTGCTGGGGGGTGCTGGGGGTGCGGGTGGGCGCCGGCACAGGGCCCTGGGGGGGTCCTGGGGGGCTGCTGCAGGTTGAGGATGCTGTCGATGGCGCTCTGCAGGTGCTCGCTCAGGGCGTCGTCGCGGGGGCTGTCGCTGCTCGAGAAGCTCGCCTTGTCCACCCGCCCTTCCTCCTCCTCATCCTCCTCCTCCTCTTCCTCCTCTTCCTCTTCTTCCTCCTCCTCCTCCTCCTCCTCCCGCTCCTCCTTGCGCCGTTTGGGCGACGGCGGCGACGACACCGACGGGCCCAGCGGCTCCCAGGGCGGCTCCTCCTCCTCCTCCTCCTCCTCCTCGTCCTCCTCCCGTCCTCCTCCTGCGCACCCTTCATCATCATCAGCATCATCCCCCCCCCTCCTCCTGCGTCCTCCTCGTCCTCCTCGTCCTCGGAGAAGCCCCCAGGGTGGTGCTGTTGGTGTTGTTGGTGTTGTTGGTGTTGTTGGTGTTGTTGGTGTTGTTGGTGCTGCCGGTGCCGCTCCAGCCCCGTCGTCGTCGCCGTCGTCGTCACCCCCGTGGGTTTCCCCCCCCGGGGTCTCTGTGGGGGTGCCGGGGGTGGCTCGGGGGGTCTTCCCCCCCCCCTCAGGGCCGTGATCACCGGGGGCCTCCTGGGCTGCTGGTGGTGGTGGTGATGATGGTGATGGTGGTGATGGTGGTGATCCCTCAGCGCGTGCTGGGACGGCTGGGACTGCTGGGGGGGGGTCTGGGGAGGTTGGGGGTGATTTTGGGACTGTTGGGGATGATTTTGGGATTGCTGGGGATGATTTTGGGATTGCTGGGGATGATTTTGGGATTGCTGGGGATGATTTTGGGGCTGTTGTGGGTGGTTCTGGGATGGTTGGGGGTGGTTTTGGGATGGCTGGGGATGATTCTGGGGATGTTGGGGATGATTCTGGGATTGCTGGGGATGATTTTGGGGCGGCTGGGGATGATTTTGGGATGGCTGGGGACAATTTTGGGGCTGTTGGGGATGATTTTGAGGCTGCTGGGGACAATTTTGAGGCTGCTGGGGACGATTCTGGGGCTCCTCCCGGTAGGTTTTGCGCAGGGGGAGGCGGCAGGGGGTGCCGGGCGGGGGGTTTCCTCTCCAGGGTCCCGTTCACCGCTGCCGTTCCTGGTGTTATTCCCGGTGTTGTCATTCCCTGAATTCCCGGAGCCATTCCCTGAATTCCTGGCGCTCCGTGGACGGGATCCAGGGCCGTGTTGTGAACCACCTTGCTCAGCCCGGCCTCCTGCTTGATCTTGAGCTTGAGGCCGATGCGGCTCCGCGCCTCGTACGTCTTCATGGGGGGGCGGCTGCGCGAGGGCAGCGGCCCCTCCTCGTCCCCTCCCCACCCCGGCACCGCGCCTGGGGAGGGGAGGGGCAGGGGGTGGGGAGGCCCGGGGTCCCGGGGGAGGGGTCCCCCAGCCAGGTGACCGAGGGGAGCCCCCGCGCTTGATCAGCAGCCGGGGAGGGGCCGGAGGGGAGGGGCCGAGGGTTTGGGGGGCTCCGAGGGTTTGGGGAGGGGGCGGGGCAGGAGGAGGAGGAGGAGGAGGAGGAGGAGGAGGAAGGAGGGGGAAGGGAGTGGGGGCGGGAGGAGGAGGAGGAGGAGGAGGAGGAGGAGGTGACGACGTATTCGTCTGCAAGGGAAAGGAGGGGCTCGTTAGTTAATTAACTCATTAATTAAATTAGATCATTAATTAATAGGGTCCCCTGTGCTTCTTTCCCACCCCCCCATCCCCCTTTTTCCCACCCCAGATGTTCCTCTGGCTCTGGGAATTCAACCCCCTGGAATCCCAGAGGTGAAGGAACCGGATCTGGAACTTGGATTGACCTTTGATTGGCCCCTGATTGACCTTTGATCGGCCTCTGATTGACCTTTGATCGACCTCTGATTGACCTTTAATTGGCCTCTGATTGACCTTTGATCGGCCTCTGATTGACCTTTGATCGACCTCTGATTGACCTTTGATTGACCTCTGACCTTTGATCGACCTCTGATTGACCTTTGATTGGTTTCTGATTGACTTTTGATTGGTTTCTGATTGACCTTTGATTGGCCTCTGATTGACCTTTAATTGACCTCTGATTGACCTTTGATTGGCCTCTGATTGACCTTTGGTCGACCTCTGATTGACCTTTAATCGACCTCTGATTGACCTTTGATTGGTCTCTGACCTTTGATTGACCTCTGATTGACCTTTGGTCAGCCTCTGACTTTTGATTGACCTCTGATTGACCTTTGATCGACCTCTGATTGACCTTTGATCGACCTCTGATTGACCTTTGATCAGCCTCTGATTGACCTTTAATTGGCCTTGGATTGACCTTTGATCGGTCTCTGATTGACCTTTGATTGGCCTTTGATTGACCTTTAATTGGTCTCTCATAGATCCTCCACAGCCCTCGGTAACCCCCTCAAATCCCAGGAATTCCAGCCCAATCCCTGGGAATTCCACCCCAAACCCCAGAAATCGGACCCCAAACCCCAAGAACTCCATCCCAATCCCTCGGAATTCCACCCCAAACCCCACGAACTCCATCCCAAACCCCAAAAATTCCACCCCAAACCCCAAAAATTCCACCTCAAACCCCAAGAACTCCATCCCAATCCCTTGGAATTCCACCCCAAACCTCACAAATTCCACCCCAAACCCCAGGAACTCCATCCCAAACCCCAAAAATTCCACCCCAAACCCCAGAAATCGGATCCCAAACCCAACAAATTCCACCCCAAACCCCAAGAACTCCATCCCAAACCCCACAAATTCCATCCCAATCCCTGAATTCACCCCAAACCCCAGGAATCCCCCATCCCATGGCAAATCCCCCATTCCCACTCCCGCTCCTCTGCGAGGTCCTCCGCCATTCCCAACCCCGTTTTCCCCATTTTTCCCGTTTTCCCATTTTCCCCATTTTTCCCGTTTCCCCCATTTTTCCGTTTCCCATTTTCCCGTTTTCCCCATTTTCCCATTTTCCCCCATTTTCCGTTTCCCCTTTTCCCGTTTTCCCCATTTTCCCATTTCCCCCATTTTCCCATTTTCCCCATTTTCCCCATTTTTCCCCCGTTTCCCCGTTTTCCCCATTTTCCGTTTTCCCCATTTTCCCGTTTCCCCATTTCCATTTTCCCCATTTTTCCTTTTTCCCCATTTTCCCATTTTTCCATTTTCCCATTTTCCCCGTTTTCCCATTTTCCCTGTTTTCCCCATTTTCCCATTTCCCCCATTTTCCCCCATTTTCCCCGTTTTTCCCCCATTTTTCCCCCATTTTCCCCCCGTTTTTCCCGGTTTTTCCCCCCATCCCACCTGGTTTGTCCCGGGCCAGCTGTCGGTCGAGGGCCAGCGCCGTCTTCTCCTCCTGGATGAACATGCGGTCGATCATCACCATCTCTGCCGAGGGGCTCACCCGCTGTGGGAACAACAACAACGGGAATGAACACTGGGAATGTGCCGGGAATGGGATGGGAATGGAGTGGGAATGGGATGGGAATGGAGTGGGAATGGGCTGGGAATGGACATGCGGTCGATCATCACCATCTCGGCCGAGGGGCTCACCCGCTGTGGGAACAACCACGGGAATAAACACCCGGAATGGGATGGGAATGGGATGGGAATGGGATGGGAATGGAGTGGGAATGGGATGGGAATGGAGTGGGAATGGAGTGGGAATGGGATGGGAATGGACATGCGGTCGATCATCACCATCTCGGCCGAGGGGCTCACCCGCTGCCAAACAACAACGGGAATAAACACCGGGAATGGGATGGGAATGGAGTGGGAATGGGGTGGGAATGGAGTGGGAATGGGGTGGGAATGGAGTGGGAATGGAGTGGGAATGGGATGGGAATGGGATGGGAATGGGATGGGAATGGACATGCGGTCGATCATCACCATCTTGGCCGAGGGGCTCACCCGCTGTGGGAACAATCACGGGAATAAACACCCGGAATGGGATGGGAATGGGATGGGAATGGGATGGGAATGGGATGGGAATGGGATGGGAATGGACATGCGGTCGATCATCACCATCTCGGCCGAGGGGCTCACCCGCTGTGGGATAATGACGGGAATGAACACCCGGAATGTACCGGGAATGGGATGGGAATGGGATGGGAATGGGATGGGAATGGAGTGGGAATGGGGTGGGAATGGGATGGGAATGGACACGCGGTCGATCATCACCATCTCAGCCAAGGGGCTCACCCGCTGTGGGATAACGACGGGAATAAACACCGGGAATGGGATGGGAATGGGATGGGAATGGGATGGGAATGGACTGGGAATGGAGTGGGAATGGGATGGGAATGGGATGGGAATGGACTGGGAATGGACATTCACCCGCTGCCAAACAACCCCGCAATGAACACCCGGAACGCCGGGAATGGGGACGGGAATGGGGTGGGAATGGACAGGGAATGGGCTGGGAATGGACTGGGAATGGACTGGGAACGGCGTGGGAATGGAGTGGGAATGGGCTGGGAATGGACTGGGAACGGACTGGGAATGGAGTGGGAACGGACTGGGAATGGTGGGAATGGACTGGGAAGGTTTGGGAAGGGAAGGTTTGGGAAGGTTTGGGAAGGTTTGGGAAGGTTTGGGAAGGTTTGGGAAGGGAAGGGAAGGGAAGGGAAGGGAAGGGAAGGGAAGGGAAGGGAAGGGAAGGGAAGGTTTGGGAAGGGAAGGGAAGGAAGGTTTGGGAAGGAAGGAAGGTTTGGGAAGGGAAGGTTTGGGAAGGGAAGGTTTGGGAAGGGAAGGGAAGGGAAGGGAAGGAAGGAAGGGAAGGGAAGGAAGGGAAGGGAAGGGAAGGGAATGGAAGGTTTGGGAAGGGAAGGGAAGGTTTGGGAAGGGAAGGGAAGGTTTGGGAAGGGAAGGGAATGGAAGGGAATGGAAGGAATGGAAGGGAAGGGAAGGGAAGGAAGGGAAGGAAGGGAAGGGAAGGGAAGGTTTGGGAAGGAAGGGAAGGTTTGGGAAGGGAAGGTTTGGGAATGGAAGGGAAGGGAAGGGAAGGGAAGGGAAGGAAGGGAAGGAAGGAAGGAAGGAAGGAAGGAAGGAAGGAAGGAAGGAAGGAAGGAAGGGAAGGAAGGAAGGAAAGTTTGGGAAGGGAAGGTTTGGGAAGTGTTGGGAAGGGAAGGGAAGGGAAGGGAAGATTTGGGAAGGGAAGGTTTGGGAAGGTTTGGGGAGGTTTGGGAAGGTTTGGGAAGGTTTGGGAAGCCCTGGGAATGCCGGGAACGCTGGGAACGGGCAGGGAACCCACCCTGGACTCCTCGAGGAGGAGCAGCCGGTACTTGTTGAGCATCGCCCGCGTCCGGCGCAGCAGCTGCTCCGACACCGCCGCAAACTCCTCGTCCACTGACCGGGAAAACAGCCGGAAAATCACGGGATAAATGTGGGATAATCGTGGGATAATCGTGGGATAATGGTGGGATAATAACAGGGATAATGGGAGAACAGGATAATAACGGGAATGGGGATAAAAGAGAATGACCCCATCCCAAACTCCTCGTCCACTGCCCGGGAAAACAGCCGGAAAATCAACGGATAAATGTGGGATAATCACGGGATAATGATGGGATAATGGTGGGATAATAATGGGATAATGGGAGAACAGGATAATAATGGGAATGGAGATAAAAGGATAACTCCTCGTCCACTGCCCGGGAAAATCACAGGGATAAATGTGGGATAAATGTGGGATAATCACATGATAATGATGGGATAATCACAGGGATAATGGTAGAACAGGATAATAACGGGAATGGGGATAAAAGGATAACGACCCCGCTGCAAACTCCTCATCCACTGCCCGGGAAAACAGCCGGGAAATCAACGGATAAATGGGGGATAAATGGTGGGATAATCACATGATAATAATGGGATAAGAACAGGGATAATGGGAGAACAGGATAATAATGGGAATGGGGATAAAAGGAGAACGACCCCATCCCAAACTCCTCGTCCACTGGCAGGGAAAACAGCCGGGAAAATCATGGGATGATGGTGAGATAAATGTGGGATAATCATGGGATAATCACATCATAATCATGGGATAATAATACAAATAATAATGGGATAATAGTGGGATAATAGCACAGATAATCACAGGATAATCACTGGATAATCACGGGATAAGCCTGGTATAACAATGCCATAATAACACGGATAATCAAGGGATAATCATGGGATAATCAAGGGATAATAACACAAATAATCACAGAATAATCATGGGATAATCAAGGGATAATAACACAGATAATCATGGGATAATCATAGCATAATAACAGGATAATCATGGGATAACCACGGGATAACGGAGGGATAATCATGGGAACGGGGATAACGGGATAACGACCCCGCCCGCTGTTATCCCAGTGTTATTTCTGGCATTCCCATTATTCCCATTGTTATTCCTGGCATTCCGAGGGCTGTGGGAGCATCCCCTGGCAGACCCCTGGTTATCCCCCAATCCCAGAGCTCCCATCCCGTTATCCCCCAATCCCAGGGTTCCCATTCCCGTTATCCCCCAATCCCAAAGCCTCCCATCCCATTATCCCAAAATCCCAGAGCTCCCCATCCCATTATCCCCCAATCCCAGAGCTCCCATCCCTGTTATCCCCCAATCCCAGACCCCCAGCATTCCCAGAATTCCTCTCTCACCCCTCCTGGCACTCCGAGGGCTGTGGGAGCATCCTCTGTTATCCCCCAATCCCAGGGCTCCCATCCCATTATCCCACATTCCCAGGGTTCCCATCCCGTTATCCCCCATTCCCATCATTCCCATCATTCCCAAAATTCCCAACATTCCCAGAATTCCCATCTCTCACCCCTCCTGCACTCCTCGGGCTGGGGAGCATCCCTTGGTAGATCCCTGGTTATCCCACATTCCCAGAGCTCCCATCCCTGTTATCCCCCAATCCCAGGATTCCCATCCCTGTCATCCCCCATTCCCAGACCCCCAGCATTCCCATCATTCCCAGAATTCCCCTCTCACCCCTCCTGCACTCCTCGGGCTGTGGGAGCATCCCTCTGGTATCCCCCAATCCCAGAGCTCCCATCCCGTTATCCCACATTCCCAGGGTTCCCATCCCCGTTATCCCCCAATCCCAAGACCCCCAGCATTCCCAGAATTCCCGTCATTCCCATCTCTCACCCCTGCGGCACTCCGAGGGCTGGGGGAGCATCCCTTGGTAGACCCCTGGTTATCCCACAATCCCAAAGCCTCCCATCCCATTATCCCCCAATCCCAGAGCTCCCATCCCATTATCCCCCAATCCCAGAGCTCCCATCCCATTATCCCCCATTCCCAGCATTCCCATCATTCCCAGAATTCCCGTCATTCCCATCTCTCACCCCTCCTGCACTCCTCTGGCTGTGGGAGCATCCCTTGGTAGACCCCTGGTTATCCCCCAATCCCAGAGCTCCCATCCCATTATCCCACATTCCCAGAGCTCCCATCCCATTATCCCCCATTCCCACCATTCCCAGCATTCCCATCATTCCCGGTATTCCCGTCATTCCCATCTCTCACCCCTCCTGCACTCCTCGGGCTGGGGGAGCATCCCTTGGTAGACCCCTGGTTATCCCCCAATCCCAGAGTTCCCATCCCATTATCCCCCATTCCCAGAGCTCCCATCCCATTATCCCCCAATCCCAGAGCTCACATCCCCATTATCCCACATTCCCATCATTCCCAGCATTCCCAGCATTCCCAGAATTCCCAGAAATCCCATCTCTCACCCCTCCTGCACTCCTCGGGCTGTGGGAGCATCCCTTGGTAGACCCCTGGTTATCCCCCAATCCCAGAGCTCCCATCCCATTATCCCCCATTCCCAGGGTTCCCATCCCATTATCCCCCATTCCCACCATTCCCATCATTCCCATCATTCCCAGAATTCCCGTCATTCCCATCTCTCACCCCTCCTGCACTCCTCGGGCTGTGGGAGCATCCCTTGGTAGACCCCTGGTTATCCCCCAATCCCAGGGCTCCCATCCCGTTATCCCCCATTCCCAGATCCCCCATCATTCCCGGCATTCCCAGCCCCCTGGCATTCCCAGAATTCCCAGAATTCCCATCTCACCCCTCCTGCACTCCTCGGGCTGCGGGAGCATCCCTTGGTAGATCCCTGGTTATCCCCCAATCCCAGGGCTCTCATCCCATTATCCCACATTCCCAGGGTTCCCATCCCATTATCCCCCATTCCCAGCATTCCCATCATTCCCAGCATTCCCAGGATTCCCTCTCACCCCTCCTGCACTCCGAGGGCTGGGGGAGCATCCCTTGGTAGACGTGGTAGGGGAGGAGCCTCCGGAGGGCGTCGCCCACGGAGCGGAAGCGGCTCCGGAATTCCGGGTGCAGCACCGAGCCCTGGTGCTTGTGCAGCTGCTCCAGGAGGCTGGGAAAGGGGAAAATTCCCAAATTATCCACACCAATCCCATGGAATTCCCAAATTAACCACACCAGAAAAATGGGAATTCCCGAATTAGAGCTGCCAAAAAATGGGAATTCCCAAATTATGGATCCCAAAAAACCAGGTGCTTGTGCAGCTGCTCCAGAAGGCTGGGAAAGGGGGGAAAATTCCCAAATTATCCACACCAGGAAACGGGAATTCCCAAATTATGGATCCCAAAAAACGGGAATTGCCAAGTTATGGCTCTTGCATCCACAGAATTCCCAAATTACTGACCCCTAAAAAAATGGAAATTCCCAAATTATGGACAAAAAACCCCCCAGAAATTCCCAAATTACCGACACAAAAAAATCAGGAATTCCAAAATTACGGACACAAAAAACCCACGGGAATTCCCAAATTACAGATCCCAAAAAATGGGAATTCCCAAATTATGCATCCCAAAAAACCAGGTGCTTGTGCAGCTGCTCCAGAAGGCTGAGAAAGGGGGGAAAATTCCCAAATTATCCACACCAATCCCATGGAATTCCCAAGTTATCCACACCAGAAAAATGGGAATTCCCAAATTATGGATCCCCAAAAACCAGGTGCTTGTGCAGCTGCTCCAGGAGGCTGGGAAAGGGGGGGAAAATTCCCAAATTATCCACACCAATCCCACGGAATTCCCAAATTACCCACACCAGAAAATAGGAATTCCCGAATTATGGACACCAAAGAATGGGAATTCCCAAGTTACAGCTCTCACATCCACAGAATTCCCAATTTACGGCCCCCAAATCCCACAAAATTCCTATATTACCAACCCCCCCAAAAAAATGGGAATTCCCAAATTATGGACAAAAAACCCCCCAAAAATTCCCAAATTACCGACACCACAAAAAAATCAGGAATTCCAAAATTACGGACTCAAAAAACCCACGGGAATTCCCAAGTTACAGATCCCAAAAAATGGGAATTCCCAAATTATGGATCCCAAAAAACCAGGTGCTTGTGCAGCTGCTCCAGGAGGCTGGGAAAGGCAGGGAATTCCCAAATTATCCACACCAATCCCACGGAATTCCCGAATTACAACCAACAAAAAAATGGGAATTCCCAAATTATGGATCCCAAAAAACCAGGTGCTTGTGCAGCTGCTCCAGGAGGCTGGGAAAGGGGGGGAATTCCCAAATTATCCACACCAGGAAACGGAATTCCCGAATTATGGACACCAAAAAATGGGAATTCCCGATTTATGGACACCAAAAAATGGGAATTCCCAAGTTACAGCTCTCCAATCCACAGAATTCCCAATTTACGGCCCCCAATCCCACAGAATTCCCAAGTTACCAACCCCCAAAAAAATGGGAATTCCCAAATTATGGACAAAAAACCCCCCAAAAATTCCCAAATTACCGACACCACAAAAAAATCAGGAATTCCAAAATTACGGACTCAAAAAAACCACGGGAATTCCCAAGTTACAGATCCCAAAAAATAGGAATTCCCAAATTACGGATCCCCAAAAACCAGGTGCTTGTGCAGCTGCTCCAGGAGGCTGGGAAAGGGGGGGAAATTCCCAAATTATCCACACCAATCCCATGGAATTCCCAAATTACCCACACCAGAAAATGTGAATTCCCGAATCACGGACACCAAAGAATGGGAATTCCCAATTTACAGCTCTCACATCCACAGAATTCCCAAATTACAGACCCCAAATCCCACAGAATTCCCAAATTACAGAACCCAAAAAATGGGAGTTGCCAAATTACTGACCCCCAAAAAAGGGGAATTCCCAAATTACAGATGCCAAAAAATGAAAATTCCCAAATTATGGCCACCAAAAAACAAGAATTCCCAAATTACAGACCCCCAAAAAATGGGAATTCCCAAATTATGGATCCCAAAAAGAGCCGGGAATTCCCAAAATACAGACCCCCAAAAAATGGGAATTCCCAAATTACAGACTCCACACCCAAGGAATTCCCAAATTCCAGCTCCCAATCCCACAGAATTCCCAAATCACGGCCCCCCCACCCCCTGGAACTGGGACCAAATTCCCCATTTCTGGCATCAACAGGGCTGAAATTCCCGATTTTCCGGCCGCCCTCCCGCCTGGAATCCCCCCAGCATTCCCAGAATTCCCAGAATTCCCAGAATTCCCAACATTCCCGGAATTCTCACCAGGCCTCCTTGCTGGGCTGCAGCGCCGGCGCCTTCTTCACAACCTCCAACTGCAAGGGGGAATTCCCGGGATTTGGGGTCAGTTCAGGGATTTGGGGAGGGATTCCCGGGATTTGGGGGGAATTCCCGGGATTTGGGGTCAGTCCAGGGATTTGGGAGGGAATTCCCAGGATTTGGGAGGGATTCCAGGGATTTTGGGGGGAATTCCTGGGATTTGGGGGGGGTAATTCCAGGGATTTGGGGAGGGATTCCCAGGATTTGGGGTCAGTCCAGGGATTTGTGGGGAGATTCTTGGGATTTGGGGGAGATTCCAGGGATTTGGGGGAGAAATTCCCAGAGTTTGGGGAATTCCCAGGATTTGAGGGAGACTCCCAAGATTTGGGGGGGAATTCCTGAGATTTAAGGGGTGAATTCCCAGGATTTGGGGGCAATTCTCAGGATCTGAGGATGAATTCCCAGGATTTAGGGCTGAATTCCCAGGATTTGGGGCCGAATTCCCAGGATTTGGGGGCAATTCTCAGGATCTGAGTGTGAATTCCAGGGATTTGGGGCTGAATTCCCAAGATTTGAGGGTGAATTCCCAGGATTTGGGGGCAAATTCCCAGGATTTGGGGGCAATTCCCGGGATTTGAGGGTGAATTCCCAAAATTTGGGGGCAATCCCCAGGATTTGGGGGTGAATTCCCAGGATTTGGGGGTGAATTCCTGAGATTTAAGGGCTGAATTCCCAGGATTTGGGGGCAATTCCCGGGATTTGGGGGCAAATTCCCGGGATTTGGGGCCAAATTCCCAGGATTTGGGGGCAATTCTCAGGATCTGAGTGTGAATTCCCAGGATTTAGGGCTGAATTCCTGGGATTTGGGGGTGAATTCCTGAAATTTGGGGGCAATTTCCAGGATCTGGGGGTGAATTCCCAGAATTTGGGGGCAATTCCCAGGATTTGGGGCTGAATTCCCGGGATTTGGAGGTAAATTCCCAAGATTTGGGGGCAATCCCCAGGATTTGGGGGTGAATTCTCAGGATCTGAGTGTAAATTCCAGGGATTTGGGGTCGAATTCCCGGGATTTGGGGTCGAATTCCCGGGATTTGGGGCCGAATTCCCAGGATTTGGGGGCAATTCTCAGGATCTGAGTGTGAATTCCAGGGATTTGGGGCTGAATTCCCACGATTTGGGGGGTAAATTCCCAAGATTTGAGGGTGAATTCCCGGGATTTGGGGCTGAATTCCTGGGATTTGGGGGTGAATTCCCAGGATTTGGGGCTGAATTCCCAGGATTTGGGGGCAATTCCCAGGATTTGGGGGCAATTCCCGGGATTTGGGGTCGAATTCCCGGGATTTGGGGGTGAATTCCCGGGATTTGGGGCCTCACCACGGGCTGGGTTTGGGGTCCCTTCCCCCCCCCCGGGGTCTGGGGGGCTCCTTTGATCCCTCCCGGCTTCGCCTGCGGAAAAAAAACCGGGAAAAGTGGGAAAAATGGGATGAGCTCCGGAATTCCCGGGAATTCCCGGGGCTGGGAAAGGTGGGAACAACCAGGGAGGGAGGAAAAACTGGGAATAAAGGGGGAAAACAGGGAAAAATAAAGGGAAATAGGGAGGAAAATGCAGGGAAAAGGGGGGAGATCCAAAGGAAAAATGGGAAGAATAAAAAGTGGGAGAAGGGGGAAAGAGGAGGGGAAAAAGTGGGAATAAAGGGGGGGAAAATGGGGAATTGAAGGGGGGAAAAAAAGGGGGAAAAGTGGGAATTGAGGGGGAAAAACAAGGGGGAAAAGTGGGAAATTGAGATGGAAAAATTGGGAAAGAAGATTAAAAATAGGGAAATAAAGAGAGAAAAGTGGGATCCACAGGGGGAATTTTGGGATGAAGAAGCAAACCAGGAAGTAAAGAAGAAACAGAGAAATACAAAGAGGGAAAAAAACTGGGATATAAAGAAAAAAAAATGGGAAATGAAGATGAGGAATCAGGAAATAAAGAGGGGAAAGTGGGACACAAAGGGGAAAATTGGGATATAAAGGAAAAAAAATGGGAAATTAAAAGGAGGAATCAGCAAACAAGGCGGGAAAACCGGGAAACAGAGAAGGAAAATGGGTAAATACAGGAAAAAGTGGGATGCAAAGAAGAAAAAGTGGGAAATCAAGGCAGAAAATCCGGAAATGAGGTGGGAAAAGCGGAAAATAAAGGAGGAAAAGCGGGAAAGAAAGAAGAAAAACGGGGAAAGGGGGAGGGAAAACCAAGAAATAAAGAGGGAGAATCAGGAAATGAAGAAGGAGGTTGGAAAATTGGGAAATTAAAGAGAAAAAACAGGAAATTAAAGAGGAAAAATGGAAAATTCAGGAGGAAAAACAGAAAATAAGGAGGAAAAATCAGGAAATGCAGGGAAAATGGGATACAAAAGGGGGGAAAAAGGGGGAAATTTTAGATCCAAAGGGGAAAAGGAGCAGGAAAGGAAGAGAGAAAATCAGGAAATAAAGTGGGAAAGCGGGAAAATGAGACAGAAAATCGGGAAATAAAAAGAGGAAAGTGGGATAGGAGAGAGACAAAACAGAAAATTAAAGAGGAAAAATGGGAAATTAAGGAGGAAAACGGGAAATTAAGGAGGGAAACGGGAAATTAAGAAGGAAAAATGGGAAATTAAGGAGGAAAAATGGGAAATTGAGGAGGAAAAAGGGGGAATTAAGGAAGAATAATGGGAAATGAAAGAGGAAAAAGGGGAAATTCAGGAGGAAAAACAAGAAATGAAGGAGGAAAGATGGGAAATTAAGGAGGAAAAACGGGAAATTGAGGAGGAAAAACGGGAAATTAAGGAGAAAAATGGGAAATTAAGGAGGGAAACAGGGAAATTCAGGAGGAAAACCAATAAATGAGGCTGGAAAATTGGGAAATAAAGGAGGAAAAACGGGAAATCAACATGGAAAATTGGGAAGCAAGGCAGGAAAATTGGGAAATAAGGAGGAAAACCCAGGAAATGCAGGGAAAAGGGGATACAAAAGGGGGGAAAACTCAGACCCAAAGGGGAAAAGGAGCAGGAAAAGCGGGAAAAGGCGGGAATGGGGCTGGGAATTCCCTTGGAAAAGCCCCCTGACCTGTGGGGGCGGCGCCGGCCCCGCCTTGGGCGTGGTTGGGAGCCCCTTCCCGGCAGGAACGGCCCCGGAAACGACGGCGAAGGATTTGCTCTCCGAGGGGGCTCCTGGGGAGAGAAAAGGGGGAAAAATGAGGGAAAAATAGGGAAAAATAGGGGAAAACAGGGAAAAATAGGGGAAAACAGGGAAAAACCAGGGGAAAACAGGGGAAAATAGGGGAAAACAGAGAAAAAACAGGGAAAAATAGGGAAAAACAGGGGAAAACGGGGAAAAATAGGGAAAAATAGGGAAAAACAGGGAAAAATAAATAGGGGAAAAGAAAGAAAAAACAGGGAAAAACAGGGAAAAATAGGGAAAAACAGGGGAAAAACAAGGAAAAACGGGGAAAAACAAACAGGGAAAAACAGGGAAAAATAAATAGGGGAAAAGAGGAAAAAAACAGGGGAAAACAGGGGTAAACAGGGAAAAATAGGGAAAAACAGGGAAAAAATAGGGAAAAACGGGAAAATAGGGAAAAAATGGGAAAACGGGGAAAACAGGGAAAACAGGGGAAAATAGGGGAAAAACAGGGAAAAAACAGGGAAAAACAGGGAAAAACAGGGGAAAATAGGGAAAAACAGGGGGAAACGGGGAAAACAGGGAAAAACGGGGAAAACAGGGAAAAACAGGGAAAAACAAGGAAAAAATAGGGAAAAACAGGGAAAAACGGGAAAAATAGGGAAAAACAGGGAAAAACGGGAAAACAGGGAAAAACAGGGAAAAACAAGGAAAAAATAGGGAAAAACAGGGAAAAACGGGAAAACAGGGAAAAACAGGGAAAAATAGGGGAAAAATAGGGAAAAAATAGGGGAAAATAGGGAAAAACAGGGAAAAATAGGGGAAAAACAGGGAAAGACAGGGGAAAACAGGGAAAAATAGGGGAAAACAGGGAAAAACAGGAAAAAAACAGGGAAAAACAGGGGGAAAAACAGGGAAAAACGGGGAAAAACGAGGAAAACCAGGGGAAACCAGGGGAAAATAGGGGAAAAGAGGGAAAAAACAGGGAAAAAACAGGGAAAAACAGGGGAAAACAGGGAAAAATAGGGAAAAAACAGGGGAAAACAGGGAAAAACAGGGGGAAAATAGGGAAAAACGGGAAAATAGGGAAAAACAGGGAAAAACAGGGGGAAACAGGGGGAAACAAACAGGGAAAAAACAGGGGAAAAACAGGGAAAAAGGGTCAGAGTCCAAAGGATTCCAGAGGATCCTGAAGGATCCCGGAGGATCCCAAAGGATCCCGGAGGATCCCGGAGATTCCCAGCCCAGGGAAGGTGAAAAGGGAAAGGGGGAGGGGAAAAGAAGGATGGGTTGGGAATTTTGGAGGGGGATTCTTGGACTTGGGGGAGGGGAGGGGGATTTGGGGAGGATTTGGAATTTGGGATGTTGGGATTTGGGGGGTTTGGGGTTGGGGAGGTTTTAGGATTTTGGGATGTTGGGATTTAGAAAGATTTGGGATGTTGGGATGTTGGGGGGGGATTTGGGATATTGGGATTTTGGGGGATTTGGGGGAATTTGGGGTGGTTTTGGGATTTGGGGGGATTTGGGATTGAGGAGATTTTGGGATTTGGGATGTTGGGATTTGGGGGGGGATTTGGGATATTGGGATTTGGGGGGGGATTTGAGGTCGGGAAGGTTTCGGGATTTGGGAGTATTTGGGGTTGGGGAGGTTTTGGGATTTGGGATGTTGGGTCTGGGGAGGATTTGGGATGTTGGAATTGGGAGGATTGGGAAAGATTTGGGATGTTGGAATTTGGGGGGATTTGGGGTTGGGGAGGTTTTGGGATTTGGGGAGAATTTGGGAAGATTTGAGATTTTGGGATTTGGGAGGATTTGGCATTTGGGATGTTGGGATTTGGGGAGGATTTGGGATGTTGGAATTGGGAGGATTGGGAAAGATTTGGGATTTGGGAAAGATTTGGGATGTTGGGAGGATTCGGAAAGATTTGGGATTCGGGGGGGTTTGGGGACATTGGGATTTGGGAGGATTTGGGATTTGGGGATTGCAGAATTCCCAGATTTCGGACTGTGGGACTCGGGGGATTCCCGAGGATTCTGGGGCACCAGAATTTTGGGTTTCCAGGATTCCCGGATTTTGGGCTCCTTCGGGACTCTGGGATTTTGGAATTTCGGAATTCTGGCTCTCCGGGATTTTGGGATTCCAGAATTTGGGGATTCTGGAGTTTTGGGATTCCAGGACTCTGGGATTTTGAGATTTTGGGATTCCAGGACTCCAGGATTTTGGAATTTTGGGATTCCAGGACTCCGGGATTTTGGAATTCCAGGATTTTGGGATTTCAGGACTCCAGAATTTTGGAATTTTGGGATTCCAGGACTCCAGGATTTTGCAATTCTGGGATTTGGACATTCCAGAACTCCAGGATTTTGGAATTTGGGGATTTCAGGACTTTGGAATTCCGGAGTTTTGGGATTCCAAGACTCCAGAATTTTGGAATTTTGGGATTCCAGGACTCTGGGATTTTGCAATTCTGGGATTTGGGGATTCTGGGACCCCAGGAATTTGGAATTTTGGGATTCCAGGACTCCGGGATTTTGGAATTCTGGAATTTTGGAATTCCAGAATTTGGGGATTCCGGAGTTTGGGGATTCCAGGACTCCGGGATTTTGGAATTTCGGGATTCCAGGATTTGGGGCCGCTTTGGGACTCCAGGATGTTGGAATTCTGGGATTTGGGGATTCCAGGACTCCGGGATTTTGGAATTCCAGGATTTGGGGATTCCAGGACTCCAGGATTCTGGAGTTTTGGGATTCCAGGACTCCAGGATTTTGAGATTTTGGGCTTCCGGGACTCCAGGATTTTGGAATTTCGGGATTCCAGGATTCCAGGATTTTGGAATTCGGGGATTTTGGTATCCCAGGAATTTGGACCTGGCCAGAATTCCCGGGATTTCCCACCTGTGCTGGTGGGCGTGGCTCCGTGGGTGGGCGTGGCCGCCAGCAGGACGGAGGCCCCGCCCGGGGGCGGAGCCTGAGGAGGGGGCGGGGCCGGGAAGGGGGCGGGGCTGGACGGGGGCGGCTTCGGCTGCAGGAGCAGCCCCGGAGGGACCTGGAAAACAAAAATCCACCAAAATCAACCCAAAAACACGGGGAGGAGACCCCAAAATCACAAATCCAACTGGAAACACCCCAAAATCCCAAACCCACTTGGATCCACCCCAAAATCCCAAATCCAACCAAAAATGCCCCCAAAATCCTAAATCCAACCGGATCCACCCCAAAATCCCAAATCCACTTGGATCCACCCCAAAATCCTAAATCCAACTAAAAATGCCCCCAAAATCCTAAATCCAACTGGATCCACCCCAAAATCCCAAATCCAACTAAAAATGCCCCCAAAATCCTAAATCCAACTGGAGACACTCCCAAAATCCCGAATCCAGAGAGATCTGCCACCTGGATCCACCCCTAATCCCAAATAAATGGACACACCCCCCAAATCCCAAATCCATCAGGAGACGCCCCCCAAAATCCCAAATCCAACTGGAAACACCCCCCAAAATCCAAAATCCAACTGGAGACGCCCCCAAAATCCTAAATCCAACTGGAGACACCCCCCAAATCCCAAATCCAACTGGAAACACACCCCAAAATCCCAAATCCAACTGGAGACACACCCCAAATCCCAAATCCAACTGGAAACACCCCAAAATCCCAAACCCACCTGGAGATGTCCCCAAAATCCTAAATCCAACTGGAAACACCCCCCAAATCCCAAATCCATCAGGAGACACCCCCAAAATCCCAAATCCAACTAAAAACGCCCCCAAAATCCCAAATCCAACTGGAGACACCCCCAAATCCCAAATCCACCTTCAGACACCCCCCAAAATCCCAAATCCACCTGGAGACGCCACCCAAAATCCCAAACCCAACTGGAAACACCCCAAAATCCCAAATCCAACTGGAGATGCCCCCAAAATCCTAAATCCAACTGGACACACCCCAAAATCCCAAATGCATCTGGAGACACCCCCCAAATCCCAAGGAAACACCCTAAAATCCCAAATCCAACTGGAACCACCCCAAAATCCTAAATCCAACTGGAAACACCCCCAAATCCCAAATCCAACTGGAAACACCCCCAAAATCCCAAATCCAACTGGAGACACCCCCAAAATCCAAAATCCAACTGGACACCCCCCAAAATCCCAAATCCATCTGGATCCACCCCAAAATCCCAAATCTAACTGGAGACACCCCAAAATCCCAAACCCACTTGGATCCACCCCAAAATCCTAAATCCAACTAAAAATGCCCCCAAAATCCCAAATCTGACTGGAGACGCCCCCCAAAATTCCAAACCCACTTGGATCCACCCCAAAATCCCAAACCCACCAGGAGATGCCCCCAAAATCCTAAACCCAAGTGGAACCACCCCCAAAATCCCAAATCCAACTGGAGACACCCCCAAAACCCAAAATCCAACTGGATCCACCCCCCAATCCCAAATCCAGAGGGATCTGCCAGTTGGATCCTCCAGGGGGATTTCCTGGGATCCAGCAGAGGAATTTCCCTGGATCCACCAGGGGGAATTTCCAGGATCCCCCAGGAGGATTTTTGGGGATCCCCCCGAGGAAATTCCTGGGATCCATCAGAGAAATTTCACAGGAATTTCTGGGATCCACCAAGGGGATTTTTGGGGATCAACCAAAGGAATTTCCCAGGATCCACCAGGAGGATTTTCAGGGATCCAGCAGAGCATTTTCCTGGGATCCATCAGGGGGATCTCCCAGCATCCAGCCACAGGAATTTCTTGGGATCCACCACAGGGATTTTTGGGATCCACCACAGGAATTTCTTGGGATCCACCACAGGGATTTCTTGGGATCCACCACAGGGATTTTTGGGATCCACCACAGGGATTTCTTGGGATCCACCAGAGGGATTTTTGGAGATCCATCAGACAAAATTCCCAGGATCCACCAAGGTAAAATTTTTGGGATCCACCCGAGGAATTTCTTGGGATCCAGCTGATGGATTTCCTGGCATCCATCAGAAGAATTTTCCAGGATCCACCAGGAGAGTTTTTTTGGGGGATCAACCAAAGGAATTTTCCAGGATCCACTGGAGAAATTCCAGGGGATCCAACTGACAAAATTCCTGGGATCCACCAGAATTTCTTGGGATCCACCAGAGGATTTTTAAAGGATCCATCCCACAAATTTCCCAGGATCCAACACAGCAAATTCCTGGAATCCACCAGGGGAGGATTTCCCAGGATCCTCCTGAGGGATTTTCTGGGATCCACCAGGAGGATTTCCTGGGATCAACCAAAGGAATTCCCTGGGATTTGCTGGGATCTCCCAGGGGGATCCCCTGGGATCCACCAAGGGGATTTTTTTTGGGATCAACCAAAGGAATTCCCTGGGATTTGCTGGGATCTCCCAGGGGGATTTTCTGGGATCCACCAAGGGGATTTGTTTTGGGATCAACCACAGGAAATTCCCAGGATCCACCAGAGAAATTCCTGGGAATCCCCCAGGAGAATTTTTTTAGGATCCATCCCACAAATTTCCCAGGATCCATCCCACAAATTCCCAAGATCCACCAGGAGGGAAAATTCCCTGGGATCCCCCATCCTGGGGGGGGGGGTGGGAATGGAAATCTTGGAAAAATCTCAAGGAAAAATCATTTCCCTTCCCGTTTTCCCGGGAATTCCGTAGGAATTTTACCTGCTGGAACCTTTCCAGGCCGGCCTTGGGCGCAGCGGGAGCGGAAGGGCCGGGATTGGGGTTGGGATTGGGAATGGGGGTGGGATTGGGGTTGGAATTGGGGTTGGAATTGGGGGTGGGGTTGGGATTGGGGGCGGGAACGGCGCCGGCAGGAGCGGGGGGAGGGGCAGGGCGTGGCTGGGGGAGGGGTGGGCGGGGCTTTCTGGCCCCTCCCCGCCCCAGGGAAATGCTGGGAATGATGTTGGGAATGTTGGGAATCAGCTGGAGGGGGGAGGGGCGGGGTCGGGGAAAAGGGGGGTTGGGAATGGGGTGGGGAGGGGCCATCCCAAAGATGGTTTGGGGGCGGGGGTGGGGAGGGGCGCCTGGGAAGGGCAGGAGGGAGGGGGAGGGGGAGGGGGAGGTTCGGAGGGGGCGGGAATGGGGGCGGGAAGGGGGCGGGGAGGGGCTGGGAGGGATTTGTGAGGGGATTTGGGATGGGATTTGGGATGGAATTTGGGATGATGGGATTTGGGATGGAGGGATTTGGGATGGAGGCGGGGGAGGGGCCGGGGGGTCTCCCGGGAGCTTCGGCTGCAACAAAAAACAACAAAAAAAAAAAAGAGAAGGAAAGAAAAAAAGAGGCAGAAGGTTAGTCCTGGAAAAGGGGGGGGAGGGGAGGGGTTGGGAAGGGCCAAATCCCGGGAAAAACACGAGGGGAGGGGGAGGGAACATCCCAGGGGGGATTCTGGATCCCAATCCCATCCCAATCCCATCCCAAAGCCACTTTTGGGAATAAAAAAAGGAAGGAAAACCAACCAAAAATCCACCTGGGGGATCCTAAAGTGGTTCCAGGAGTGGATTATCCCAGGAAAAACCCACTGGGGGAGGGGTTGGAATCATCCCAGGGAGCCTCTGGATCCCAATCCCATCCCAAAGCCGCTTTTTGGGAGTAAAAAAAGAAGGAAAACCACCCCAAAATCCACCTGGGGGATCCCAAAGTGGCTCCAAGAGGGAATTTTTATCCAGGAGTGGATTATCCCGGGAAAAACCCACTGGGGGAGGGGTTGGAATCATCCCAGGGGACTCTGGATCCCAATCCCATCCCAGGGGGGACTCTGGATCCCAATCCCATCCCAAATCCCATCCCAAAGCTGCTTTTTGGGAGGAAAAAGGAAGGGAAACCACCCCAAAAATCCACCTGAGGGATCCCAAAGTGGCTCCAAGAGGGAATTTTTATCCAGGAGCGACTCCAGGAGTGGATTATCCCAGGAAAAACCCACTGGGGGAGGGGTTGGAACATCCCATGGGGAACTCTGGATCCCAATCCCATCCCAAATCCATCCCAAAGCTGCTTTTTGGGGAGGAAAAAGGAAGGGAAACCACCCCAAAAATCCACCTGGGGGATCCTAAAGTAAATCCAGGAGTGGATTATCCTGGGAAAAACCCACTGGGGGAGGGGTTGGAACATCCCATGGGGAACTCTGGATCCCAATCCCATCCCAATCCCATCCCAAAGCTGCTTTTTGGGGAGGAAAAAAGGAAGGGAAACCACCCCAAAAATCCACCTGGGGGATCCTAAAGTAAATCCAGGAGTAAATTATCCTGGAAAAACCCACTGGGAGAGGGGCTGGAATCTCCCCAAGGAGCCTCTGGATCCCAATCCCATCCCAAATCCATCCCAAAGCTGCTTTTTTGGGAGTAAAAAAGGAAGGAAAACCACCCCAAAAATCCACCTGGGGGATCCCAAAATAAATCCAGGAGTGGATTATCCCAGGAAAAACCTACTGGGGGAGGGGCTGGAATCTCCCAAAGTAACCTCTGGATCCCAATCCCATCCCAAATCCCAGGAAAACTCGCCCTAAATCCGCCTCCAATCCCGTTTTTTCCAAGATTTTGGGAAGCAGGAGAAGGAAAAACCCTGGAAACTCCCCCTGAGCATTCCCAAGGGAATGAAATCCCTGGGAAAAAAAAAAACTTTTTTTGCTGCTCTTCCCCCAAAAAATCCCCCATTCCCAAATTTTTTTCCCCCCAATCCAAGAACGATTTTTTTTTTATGGATTCCACCCCTCCCCCTCTTTTCCCGGGGAATTCCCGGAGCTGGGACCGGCCCGAGGACGATCCCGAGGGATTTGGGGGGGTGGGGAGGGGGGAAGGAAATCCCTGGAATTTGGGGATCCGAGCGTGGCAGGAGCTGAGGGGGTGGAAAAGCAGGAGAAGCAGCAGCAGCTCCGGGGTTAGTGAAGCCAAAGGCAGCGGGAAACGGCCGGAAAAACGGGATGGAAAATGGGAATTGGAGGAGGGGGAAGGGGGGGAGGGGCTGGGAAATAAAAAAATCCCCTTTGGAAAATGGGAATTTGAAAGGGAAAAAAAAAACCCCTTGGAAAAGATAAAATTCCCGCCCCTCCAAAATCTGCCGGATTCCTGGGAAGTTTGGGGATGGATCCGGTGGGAAAGCTCCGCCCCTGGATCCCGGTTTTCCATTGCCAGATCCCGGTTTCCGTTGCTGGATCCCAGTTTTCCCCACTGGATCCCAGGTTTTCTGCCCCTGGATCCCAGGTTTTCCCCACTGGATCCCAGGTTTTTTCACTCCTGGTTCCCAGTTTCCCACTGGATCCCAGTTTCCCACTGCTGGATCCCGGTTTTCCCCACTGGATCCCGGTTTTCCCCACTGGATCCTGGTTTTCCGCTGAATCCCAATTTTTGTATTGCTGGATCCTAGTTTTCCACCCTCAGATCCCAGTTTTCGTCCCCTGAATCCCGGTTTTCTGCCCTGGATCCTGGTTTTCCACCCCTGGATCCCAGTTTTCCGCTGCTGGATCCCAGTTTTTTCCACCCCCAGCTCCCGGTTTTCCGTTGCTGGATCCCCAATTATCCCACTGGATTCCCAGTTTTCTACTGCTGGATCCCAGTTTTCCCCACTGGATCCCAGTTTTCCCCAAGGGATCCCGGTTTTTCACCCTGCTGGATCCCGGTTTTCCGCCCCTGGATCCCAACATCAACTCAACCTCAACTCAACATCAGCCCAACATCAAACTCAACATCAACTCAACCTCAACTCAACATCAGCCCAACATCAAACTCAACATCAACTCAATCTCAACATCAGCCCAACATCAAACTCAACATCAACCCAACCCCAACTCAACCTCAACCCAATCCAACCTCAACTCAACCCAACTCAACCTCAACCCAACTCAACCTCAACTCAACCTCAACCTCAACTCAACCCAACTCAACCTCAACCCAACCTGAACTTAATCCCCAACTCAATCCCAACCCAATCCCAACTCAACCCCAACTCAAACTCAACGCTGTCAACCTCAACCTCAACTCAATCTCAACCCAACTCAACCTCAACTCAACCCAAGCTCAACCCAACCCAACTCAACCTCAACCCAACCCCAACTCAACCCAAACACCACTCAAGGCCAACTCAGCGTCAACATCAACTCAGCATCAACCCCAACGTCAACCCCAACTCAACCTCAACTCCAACCCCAACTCAATGTCCCCAAGCCAAGCCCAACCTCAAAGTCAACCCCAAACTCAACATCAACGTTACCCCCACTCAACCTCCACTCACCGTCAACCCAACCCCAACCTTGAGGTCAACCCCAAACACAACCCCAAACTCAAGCTCATCGTTACCCCCACCCCAGCTCAAGGTCGATTCAATGTCAAACTCAACCTCAACTTCCACTCAACATCGACCCAACCCCAACTTCAAACTCAACCCCAACCTCAACTCAACCCCAACCTCAACTCAACCCCAACTTCAACTCAACCCCAACTTCAAACTCAACCCCAACTTCAAACTCAACCCCAACTTCAAACTCAACCCCAACCTCAACTCAACCACAACCTCAACTCAAACCCAACCTCAAACTCAACCCCAACCTCAACTCAACCTCAACAATCCAACCCCAACCTCACCATGACCCCACCTCAGCTCAACGTCAACCTCAACCCCAACCACCCCAAACTCAACCCCAACCCCACCATGACCCCACCTCAGCTCAATGTCAACCTCAACCCCAACCACCCCAAACTCAACCCCAACCCCACCATGACCCCACCTCAGCTCAACGTCAACCTCAACCCCAACCACCCCAAACTCAACCCCAACCCCACCATGACCCCACCTCAGCTCAATGTCAACTCCACCTCAACAACCCAAACTCAACCCCAACCCCACCACGACCCCCCCCGTGCCGCGAGGCCCCACCAGCACCTCCACCCCGAAATCCCCTTCCCCACCCGCCATCCCCTCCCCTCCCCCTCACCTGCTGCAGGAACATCTGCATGGACTCCTGGCCCAGGACGGCGCCGGGCGCGGCCGCCGCTCCCAGCAGGATCTTCTCGGGGCTGCCGGCGAGCCCCGGGCTGGGCTGGGAGGTGCCGGCGGGCACGGCGGGCACGCTGAGCTGCAGCGACGCCGACGCCGGCGCCGCGGCGGGCGCGGGGGGCTGGACGGTGAGGACGGAGCCGGGGTCGGCGCCGGGGCCGGGGCTGGCGCCGGGGGGAGCGGCGGTTGCGGCGCCGGGGGCCGCCTGGATGCCGACGGCCGCGCCCAGCCCGCCGCCGGCGCTCAGCATCACCTGGCTGGCCAACGTCACCCCCTGGATCACCGTGGGCGCCGCCGCCGCCGCCGCCTGGCTCTGGCTGGGCAGCGTCCCCGCCAGCGACACCGGCATCTGGAAGAGCGCCGGCTGCCCCACCTGGCCCGGCTGCAGCTGGATGGGCGCCGACAGGATGTGGGCGGTGCCGTGGGAGTTGGGCGACGTCAGCACGGGGCCCAGGTTGAGCTGGCCCGCCAGGTTCTGGTTGGTGAGGATCTGCGCCGGCAGGGCCTGGTTGGCGATGAGCTGCGCGCCGCCGGCGGCGCCCTGGCCGGCCAGGAGGCCGGCGCCGTGCGGGGCCGCCAGGATCTGGCCCCCGACGCCGGCGGGCAGCGCCGAGAGCGGCTGGGCCAGCTGGCCCGGCAGCAGGAACTGGTTCTGGCCCTGGAAGTGCTGCGCGGGGATGACGATGCTGCCGCCCTGGTTGAGCACGTGCACGCTCATGGGCTTGCCCAGCGCCGCCGCCGCCGCCGCCGCCGCCGCCGCCGCCGCCTGGGGGGCCCCTGGGGGCTTGAAGACGTTGGGGGGGAAGCCCGAGAGCACCACGTTGGGCGCCGCTTTGCCGGCCATGAAGGTCAAGTTCTGCTGCTGTTGCTGCTGCTGCGGCTGCTGTTGTTGTTGTTGTTGCTGTTGTTGTTGCTGCTGGGGCGCCTTGGCCGCCGGGGCCTCGCCGGGCAGCGCCAGCGCGGCGGCTCCGCCGGAGTTGGGGCGGCGAAGGGCTTGGGCGTGATCTGGTAGAGCTTCTGGGGCAGCACCTGCCCGGCGGGCTTGGGCTGGATGGGCGTGGGCGTGCGGTGGATGATGACGTTGGGCGCCGGCACCAGGGAGCCGCCCAGGCCGGAGGTGACGGTGAGCGGCGCCGGGGAGACGCCGCCGAACACCGAGCTGCCGTTGAGGGCGGTGGTGGCGGCCGGGAGGCTCTTCTGGATCACCAGGCCCGGCCCCCCCTGCGAGGACGGCGCCGCCAGCGCCGCCTCGGGCTGGGCGATGTAGCCCCCCACGGCCGCCACCGGCGCCGGCTTGGCCAGCAGCTGCGGCGCCGCCGGCTGGTTGATGGCCATCACCTGCTGGCCCACCACCTGGATGGGCCCCAGGCCCAGCGCGCCGCCGGGGCTGCCGTTGGGGAGCCCGGGCAGGTTGGGCAGGGGCTGGATGGTGACGTTGCCCAGCCCCACCTGCTGCAGGAAGGGCTGCACGCCGATGGCCTTGCCGACCGCGTCGGCGCCCACCGGCTGCGGCACCAGGGCCTGGTGGGCCAGCACGGCGGGGGGTTGGATGCCCAGCAGGTCGGCGGCGCCGCCGGGGAAGAGCTGGGGGGCTCCGTCGGCCGCCGCCTGCACCACGGGCTGCAGGGCGGGCAGCTGGAAGGAGCCCAGGTCCAGCTCGGCCTCGGCCTCCAGCGTCTGCTCGGTGATGTTGGCCTCCTGCAGGCTCTGCTGCAGGATGTCGCACGGCTGCTCGGCGCCGGCGCCGGCGCCCGAGGGCGAGCCCAGGATGTCATCCTCCAGGAAGTCCAGGTCCACGCTGGCCGCCGGCTGGCTCGGCTCCGCGCTCAGGGGGTTCCCGGCGGCCTCCTGCCCGTGGAGCTGCGGCAACGGAGATGGGGCGGGGGGGAAGGGGAGGTCAGAGCGCGGGTGGGGACTCGAGGGACGTGACGGAGCTCGAGGGAGATCAATAGAAACCAACTGAGCTCAATGGAGCTCAACAGAGCTTAACAGAACTCAACTGAGCTCAACGGGACTCAACTGAGCTCAACAGGACTCAACTGAGCTCAACAGGACTCAACTGAGCTCAACGGAACCCAACTGGGTTCAACGGAACCCAACTGGGTTCAACGGAACTCGGTGGAACTCAACAGAACTCAACAGAGCTTAACAGAACCCAACTGAGCTCAACGGAACCCAACTGAGCTCAATGGAACCCAACTGGGTTCAATGGAACTCGGTGGAACTCAACAGAACTCAACAGAGTTTAATGGACATCAACTGAGCTCAATGGACCTCAATGGAGCTCAACAGAGCTCAGTGGAGCTCAACGAACCTCAACGGAGCTCAACGGAACCCAGTGAAGCTCTGTGAAGTTGAGTTGAGCTCAACAAAGCTCAGTGGAGCTCATCCAGACTCAGTGGAGCTCATCCAGACTCAGTGGAGCTCAACCAGACTCAGTGGAGCTCAACCAGACTCAGTGGGGCTCAATGGAGCTCAAGAGAGGTCAACAGAACTCCAAGGAGCTCAATGGAAATTAATCAAACTCAATTAAACTCAATTAAACTCAATTGAACTCAATGGAAGTCACTGGAGCTCAACAGAACTCGATGGACCCCAAAGCACCTCAATAGGTCTCAATGAAGCTCAACAGAACTTGATGGGACTCAAAGTCAATGGAGCTCAAAGGACCTCAAGAGAACCCAGTGAAGCTCAGTGGAACTCAGTGGAGCTCAATGGACCTCAATGGACCTCAATGGAGCTCAACCCAACTCAATGGAGCTCAATGGACCTCCATGGACCTCAACCCAACGCAATGGACCTCCATGGACCTCCATGGAGCTCAACCCAACTCAGTGGAGCTCAATGGAGCTCAACCCAACACAATGGACCTCCATGGACCTCAATGGAAGTCAATGAAAGTCAATGAAAGTCAATGGAAATCAATGGAAGTCAATGGAAGTCAATGGAGCTCAACCCAACTCAACGGAAGCCGCTCACTGAAAGTCAACAAAACTCAACAGAACTCAACAAAAAATCACCCATAAAAATCCCCCAAAATGAAGGAAACTCAACAAAAGTCAATGGAAACTCAGGGAAACTCGGTCAAATTTCACCAAACTCAACCAAACTCAACAGAAACTCGACCAAAGGCAATGGAAAATAAAACAGAAAATCAATCCAAGGTAAGGGAAACTCAACAGAAAATCAACCAAACCCAATGGAAACTCAACCAAAGCCAATGGAAACTCAACCCAACCCAATGGAAACTCAACCAAACTTCACCAAACTCTACCAAACCCAATGGAAAATAAAACAGAGAATCAACCAAACCCAATGGAAACTCAACAGAAACTCAACCAAACCCAACGAAAACTCAACCAAAGTCAATGGAAAAAAACACAAAAAATCAATCAAAGCCAATGGAAACTTAACCAAAGCCAATGGAAACTCAACAGAAACTTAACCAAAGCCTATGGAAACTCGACCAAACTTCACCAAACTCAACCAAAGTCAATGGAAAGTAAACAGAAAATCAACCAAACTTAATCAAAGCCAATGGAAACTGAACCAATGCCAATGGAAACTCAACCAAACTTCACCAAACTCAGTGAAAACTCAAAGTTGACAGAAAGTCACCCAAACCCAAAGGAAACTCAACCAAAAACTGAACTCCACAAAACAACAAGAAAACTCAACCAAAGTCAACCAAAACTCAACCAAACTGAACCAAACTCAACCAACCCAGTCAAACTAAACCAACTCAACCAACTTGACCAAAACTGAACCAAAACTCAACCAACTCAACCAAAACTGAAAACTCAGCCAACCAAAACTCAACCAACCCAACCAAACCCACCCAAACTCAACCAAACCGGCCAAAGTCAACCCAAACTCAACCCAAACTCATCCAAACTCAACCCAAACTCAATCAAAACTCAACCCCAAATCATCCAATCTCAATCCAAACTCAACCAAAATTCAAAACCAATTCAATTCAAACTCAACCCAAATTCAAACTCAACCAAAACTCGACAAAACCAAAGTCACCCAAACCCAACCAAAGTCACCCAAAGTCACCCAAACTCAACCAAAAGTCACCCAAACCCAACCAAATTCATCCAAACTCCGGATTCTTTGGGAATTCCGGGCCCATCCCGCGGTTCTGTCACTCCGTAATCTCCCCTTTGGGAGAGCAAAGAGGTTTTTTTTGGGAAATGAAGGAAAAAAATCCCATGGGAAAAGGAAGGGAAAAGAATGGAATAAAAATTCCCCCAAAGTGGGGGAAAATCCCTGGAAAAGAGGATTTTTGGGATAAGCACTTTGGCTTTTGGTCCAAAAGGGGGAGGACAAAAAAATCAAAGCTCAAAATTAAAGAAAAGGGAAAAAAAAAAGGGATTAAAATGAAAACTCGGGAAAAAAAAAAACAACAAAAAATGACCCGGAACGAGAGAAAATTCCGGGAAAAACCCGGAAAAGGGGGAAAAAAGCAGGGAATGGAGGGTGAGGGTTTCATGCTGGTTGGGCATGCACAGCAGGCCATGCTTGGGGGGGAAAATGAGGGAAAAAAGGGATTTTCCGGCCAAATTCCGGGTTTATTCCGGATTTTCAGCCCCCCCTTGCTCTGGGAGGCTCCGGAGGATCGGGAATTTTGGAGTTTTCCAGGAGTTTTCCCAAGGTTTTGGAAAGGTCTGGGGGGTTTTGGGTCCTGCTTTTGCAGCTCCCGGAGCTGAAAATTCACAAATGTGTTGAATTTTTGGGTTTAAATTGGGGGTTTTGGGATTTTCTCCCGGGAAATCCTTGGGCAAAATAAAAAGTGGGATAAGGAGGGGAGGAAAATGGGAATACCTACCCCAGCACCTTCAAAAAAGGCACTGGCAGCATCTCCTGAGTTGTCCAGGAGATCCTCACTGTCAATCTGGAAGGAGAAACACGCACGGCGTTTACGGAGATTTACACGGGGAAAACGGGGGAAAACGGGGGGAAAATGGGAAAAAAATGGGGGAAAAATGAGTGAAAAATGGGGAAAAATGGGAGAAAAAAATAGAGGGAAAATGAGAGAAAAAAATGGGGGGAAAAATGAGAGAAAAAAAATGGGGGAAAAATGAGAGAAAAATGGGAAAAAATGGGAGAAAAATGAGAGGAAATAATTAGAGAAAATGGGGAAAAATGGGGGAAAAAATGGGGGGAAAAATGGGGGAAAATGAGAGGAAAAAAATGGGGAAAAATGGGAGAAAAATGAGAGGAAATAATTAGAGAAAATGGGGAAAAAATGGGTAAAAAATGGGTGAAAAATGAGAGAAAAATGGGAAAAAATGGGAGAAAAATGAGAGGAAATAATTAGAGAAAATGGGGAAAAATGGGGGAAAAAATGGGGGGAAAAATGGGGGAAAATGAGGGAAAAATGGGAGAATAACGGGAAAAAATAATAGGAGAAAATGGGAAAAAATGAGAATAAAAGGAAAAAATCTGAGAAAAATGGAGGAAAATGGGAGAAAATAATGGGAGAAAATAAGAAAAAAATAGAAGAAAATGGGAGAAAAAAGGGATGAAGTGGGAGAAAAATGGGAGATAATGGGAAAGAAATGGGAGAATAATGGGAAAAATAGAAGAAAAATGAGAAAAAATGGGAGAAAAATGAGAGAAAATGGGTAAAATAATGGGAGAAAAATGGGAAACAACAGGAGAAAAAGGGGAGAATATGGGAGAAATAAAGGAGAATGGAAACAAAATGGGGGAGAAAATGGGAGAAAAAATTGGGAGAATGGGAAAAAAATGGGAGAAAAATGGGAGAAAAATGGGAGAAATGGGAGAGAAATGGGAGAAATGGGAGAGAAATGGGAGAGAAATGAGAAAAAAATGGGGAAAAAATAAGACCAAAAAATGGGACAAAACAAGAAAAAAATGGGAAAAAAAAGAGAGAAAAAACGAGAAAAAATGGGAGAAAAATTCCTAAAAAAAAAAGAGAAAAATTCCTAAAAAAAAACCAAACCCAGGCTGGATGGAAAAAGTTGGGTTGGAGGGAAAGAAAGGGGGGAGGGGCTGGAAAAAAATCCAAAATCAGGGAGGGGGTTTTGGTGGAGCAAAAAGGGAGGAATTTGGGGTTTTTGGGGGTCTCACCTTTTCGGATCCATGTAAAAAATCGTTCAGGGCCTGAGGATCGCTGGAAAAAAAGCAGGAAAAGAGGATTAGGGGTGGAATTTTGGGGATTTGGGGGGTGGGGAGGGAAAATTGGGGAATTTGGAGGGAAATTTGGGGATTTTGGAGGGAAATTTGGGGGTTCTGGAAGGAAATTTGAAATCCTGGGGGGAAATTTGGGGGTTCTGGAGGGAAATTTGGGGAATTTGGAAGGAAAATTGGGGATTCTGCAGGGAAATTTGGGGATTTTGGAGGGAAATTTGGGGATTTTGGAGGGAAATTTGGGGATTTTGGGGGGAAATTTGGGGATTTTGGAGGGAAATTTGGGGATTTTGGGGGGAAATTTGAGATTCTGGAGGGAAATTTGGGGATTCTGGGGGGAAAATTGGGGATTCTAAAGGGAAATTTGGGATTCTGGGGGGAAAATTGGGATTCTGGAGGGAATTTTGGGATTCTGGGGGTGCTGGGGGGGGTTGGGATGTTTGTCACCTTTTTGGGGAAGTTTTTGGCCTTTTTTGGGACATTTTCTCTTTTTTGGGATATTTCCCATCCTTTATGGGACATTTTCCCTCTTTTTGGTCCATTTCCAGTCCTTTCTGGGTCATTTCCCACTCTTTTTTTGGAGTTTCCCATCCTTTTTGGGCCACTTCCAGTCCTTTTTGGGACATTTCCAGCCCTTTTTAGGGATATTTTCAGCCTTTTTTTTGACATTTCCAGCCCCTTTTGGGTCATTTCCCGCTGCTTTTGGGACCCTTTTCAACCTTCCCAGGACAATTCCCACCTTTCCAGGGCCAATTCCCACCTTTCCAGGGACAATTCCCACCTTTCCAGGGCCAATTCCCACCTTTTCCAGGACGATTCCCACCTTTTTTGGGTGGTTTTCCCCCCTTTTTGGGTTGTTTTTCCCCCTTTTTGGGTGGTTTTTCCCCCATTTTGGGTCATTTCCAGCCGGATTTGGGACCTTTCCTGCCCTTTCCGGGTTATCCCAGGCCGTTCCCACCCTTTTTTTTGGGAATTCCGCCCTCCCAGGACTCCCAGGACTCACCAGATGACATCGAGGAGGCACCGCCCGTCTTCATCATCCATGACAACTGCAAAGCACCCACAGGAAATGTTAAATTTTTCCATGGAAAAATCGGGAATTCCGGCCGGATTTGGGGTCCTTTTCCCTCGGGGCTTCAACCCCGGGCGGGGATTGGGGGGAAAATTGGGATAAAACCTCAGGAAAAGGGGGAAAAAGAGGGAATTTGAGGGGTTTTCCGGGAGGGAATTCCAAGGGAAGTAAGGGATGAGGGGATGGGGAGGGAATTCCTGGAGAAATCCAGCAGGGAAAGGGATTGAGCCCAAAATTCCTGAGGGGTTGAGCCCAAAATTCCAGAGGGAAAGGGATTGAACCCAAAATTCCTGAGGGACTGAGCCCAAAATCCCTCAGGGATTGATCCCAAAATTCCTGAGGGATTGAGCCCAAAATCCTTCAGGGATTGATCCCAAAATTCCAGAGGAAAAGGGATTGATCCCAAAATCCTTCAGGGATTGATCCCAAAATTCCAGAGGAAAAGGGATTGATCGCAAAATCCTTCAGGGATTGATCCCAAAGTTCTCTCAGGGATTGATCCCAAAATTCCAGAGGAAAAGGGATTGATCCCAAAATCCTTCAGGGATTGATCCCAAAATCCCTCAGGAATTGAGCCCAAAATTCCTCAGAATTCCCTCCCCCCTTTTCCCATTTCCCAAATCCAAGAAACCCAAACAATTCCAAGAATTCTTTCCCACTTTTTTTCTTTTTTTTTGTGGGAAAATCCTTAAAAAAAACCAAAACTGAAGCCCGTTGGGAATTCCCGACATTCCAACCCCTTTTTCCCGAGAGAAATTCCCACTTTTCCTCCTCCCAAGGATTCCCCAGGTTCAGCCATTCCCCCTTTTCCCGGGATTTCAAGGAATTTGGGAGCAGGAAAACACCAAAAAAATGGGAATGTTTTGGGGTAGAAAACCAGGGAATTCCAGCCCTGGATCCAAAGCTCATCCAGGGGGGTTTTGGGCCTGGGAAAAGTGGGAATTCCAAGGGAATTCCTGGAGAGGAGGGAAAAGCATCCGGAGGTTCCCAAATCCTGGATTTTCCCTGGTTTTGTTTTTTTTTCCCAGTCCTATCCTGGATTTTTTGGGGACTCCCTGAGGGGGTTCCTGGTTTGGATTTTCCTGAAATTCCGGGGTCCAGGGGTGGGAAAAGCTGGGATAAAACTGGGACAAATCCAGGATAAAATTGGGATAAAACTGGGATGAATGGGGGATAAACACAGGATAAAATTGGGATAAATCCAGGATAAAATTGGGATAAAACTGGGATGAATGGGGGATAAATCCAGGATGCAATTGGGATAAATCCTGGGTAAATCTGGGATAAAACTGGGATAAATGGAGGATAAATCCAGGATAAAATTGGGATAAATCTGGGAGGAATGGGGGGTAAATCTGGGATACAACTGGGATAAAATTGAGATGAATGTGGGATAAATCCAGGATAAAACTGGGATAAATTCCAGAGGAACAGGGAGTAAATCTGGGATACGACTGAAATAATTCCAGGATAAATCTGGGATAAAACTGGGATAAATCCTGGATAAAACTGGGATAGATCCGGGATGAATCCCAGATAAACCTGGGATAAAATTGGGATAAATCCCAAACAACACTGAGATAAATCCGGAATAAAATTGGGAGTAACGAGCGTAAATTGGGGATAAAAGAGGGATAAATCCAGGGCAAATCTGGGATAAATCCGGGGTAAAACTGGGGTGAATTGAGGGGGAATTTGGGGTAAAACTGGGATAAAAGTGGGGTGACTTTGGGGTAAATTTGGGGTAAATCTGGGATGAATTTGGGGTCAATTTGGGGTCAATTTGGGGTCAATGGGGGATAAACCCAGGATAAATTTGGAGTGAATTTGGAGTGGAATTGGGATAAATTTGGAGTAAATTTAGGGTAAATCTGGGGTAAATTTGGGATAAAATCGGGATAAATCTGGGGTCAATTTGGGGTGAATTTGGGGTAAATCTGGGATAAACTTGGGGTGAATTTGGGATAAATCTGGGATGAATTTGGGGTAAATTTGGGGTAAACTTGGGGTAAATTTGGGATAAATTTGGGGTAAATCTGGGGTAAATCTGGGGTAAATCTGGGGTAAATCTGGGATAAATCTGGGATAAACTTAGGGATAAATCTGGGGTAAAATTGGGGATAAATTTGGGATAAATCTGGAATAAACTTGGGGATAAATCTGGGATAAATTTGGGGTGAATTTGGGATAAACTTGGGGATAAATTTGGGGTAACTTTGGGGTCTATTTGGGGTGAATTTGGGATAAATCTGGGATAAATTTGGGGATAAATCTGGAATAAATTTGGGGATAAATCTGGGATAAACTTGGGGATAATTTTGGGGTGACTTTGGGGATAAATTTGGGATAAATTTGGGGATAAATCTGGGATAAACTTGGGAATAAATTTGGGATAAATCTGGGATAAATTTGGGGTGACTTTGGGGTTTATTTGAGGTGAATTTTGGGTGGATTTGGGGTAAATTTGGGGCAAGGGTTCGATTTTGGGCTCCGGGAATTCCGGGGATCCCAAAACTGGCCCTGCTGGGGGGGGGAAAAAAGGAGGGGAGGAAGAGGAAGAGGGGGAAGAGGAAGAGGAGGAGGAAGAGGAGGAGGAAGAGAAAGAGAAGAAGGAAGAGGAGGAAAAGGAAGAGGGGGAGGAGGAAGAGGAATAGGAAGAAGGAGGAGGAAGAGGGGGAAGGAGAGGAAGAAGAGGAGGAAGAACAAGAGGAGGAGGAAACAGAAACAGGAGGAAGATGAAGAGGAGAAAGAGGGGGAGGAAGAAGAGGAGGAAGAGGAGGAAGAAGAAAAGGAGGAGAAAGAGGAAGGACACACCCCCCCAGCTGAGTCCTTGAGGAGGAAGAGGAAGAGGAAGATGAAGAGGAGGAGGAAGAGGAGGGACCCCCTCCCAGCAGCTCTGGGTCCCTGAGCAGGAAAAGGAAGGGCAGGAAGAGGAAGAGGAGGAAGAGGAGGAGGAGGAGCAGGAGGAGGAGAAAGAAGAAGAGGAGGAAGAGCAGCAGGAGGAGGAGGAAGAGGAGAAAGAGGAGGAGGAAGGCCAGACATGAACACCCCACCAGAGCAGGGGGCAGCTCCAAACCCAGGCCAGGAGGGGGAGGAAGAGCAGGAGGAAGAGGAGGAAGATGAGGAGGAAAAGCAGCAGCAGCAGCAGGAGGGAGATGAGGAAGATGAAGAGGAAGAGCAGGAGGAAGAGGAGGAAGATGAGGAGGAAAAGCAGCAGCAGCAGCAGGGAGATGAGGAAGATGAAGGGGAAGAGCAGGAGGAAGAGGAGGAAGAAGAGGAGGAAAAGCAGCAGCAGCAGCAGCAGCAGGGAGATGAGGAAGATGAAGAGGAAGAGCAGGAGGAAGAGGAGGAAGATGAGGAGGAAAAGCAGCAGCAGCAGCAGCAGGAGGGAGATGAGGAAGATGAAGGGGAAGAGGAGGAGGAAGAGGAGGAAGATGAGGAGGAAAAGCAGCAGCAGCAGGAGGAGGAGGAAGAGCAGGAGGAAGAGGAAGAGGAAGATGAGGAAGGACCCCCAAACCCAGCCCAGGGGCAGCTCCAAACACAGGCCAGGAGGAGGAAGAGGAGGAAGAGGAGGAAGAAGAGCAGGAGGAGGAGGAGGAGGAGGAGGAGGATGAAGATGAGGAGGAAGAGCAGCAGCAGGAGGAAGATGAGGAAGGACCCCCAGAAGGAGCCCCCAAAACAGCTCCAAAGCCAGGCCAGGAGGGAGAGGAGGGGGAGGAAGAGGAAGATCCTGAGGGGACACACAGAGCCAGCGTGAGGGACAGCAGCAAGAGGAGGAGGAAGATGAGGAAGATGAGGAGGAAGAGGAAGAGGAAGAGAAGGAAGAGCAGGAGGAGGAAGGCCAGACATGAACACCCCAACCAGAACAGGGGGCAGCTCCAAAGCCAGGCCAGGAGGGGGAAAAGGGGGAGGAAGAGCAGGAGGAGGAAGAGGAGGAGGAAGAGCAGAAGAGGAGGAGGAAGAGCAGCAGCAGGAAAATGAGGAGGAAGAGGAGAAGGAAGATGAGGAAGGTCACACAGACACACACACAGAGAGCAGGGGCAGCTCCAGACCCAGGCCAGGAGGGACAGAAGGGGGAGGAAGAGGAGGGAGAGGAGGGAGAGTGTGAGGAGGAAGAGGAAGATGAGCAGGAAAAGCAGCAGCAGGAGGATGAAGATGAGGATGAAGAGCAGCAGGAGGAGGAGGAGGAAGAGGAGGAAGGACCCCCAAACCCAGCCCAGGGGCAGCTCCAGACACAGGAGGCCCTGAGGAAGAGGAGGAAGAGGAGGAAGAAAAGCAGGAGGAGGAGGAGGAGGAGGATGAAGATGAGGAGGAAGAGCAGCAGCAGCAGCAGGAGGAGGAGGATGAGGAGGAAGAGGAGGATGAAGAGGAGGAAGGACCCCCAAAAGCCCAGGGGCAGCTCCAGACCCAGGAGGCCCTGAGGAAGAGGAGGAAGAGGAGGAAGAAAAGCAGGAGGAGGAGGAGGAGGAGGATGAAGATGAGGAGGAAGAGCAGCAGCAGGAGGAGGAGGAGGAAGAGGTCGAGAAGGAGGAGGAAGAGGAGGAAGAAGATGAGGATGAGGAGAAGAAGGAGGAGGAAGACGAGGAGGACGAGGAGGAAGAGCAGGAGGAGCAGGAGAATGAAGATGAAGAGGAAGAAGAGGAAGAGGAGGAAGATGAAGAAGATGAGAAGGAAAAGCAGCAGCAGCAGGAAGATGAAGAGGAGGAGGAGGAGGAGAATGAAGAGGAGGAGGACGAGGAGGAGGAAGAGGAAGACGAGGAAGAGGAGGAGAAGGAAGAGGAAGACGCGGCTGCTCCTGCCGAGGCCGAAGGCCCTCTCCCCCCCCCAAATTCCAGGCCCGTTTTAACCCGGGGTTCAGAGCCCCCTCCCTCCCCAAATCCCCAAACCCTTCTCCTCCCCCTCCCCTCAGAGCGCGGCGCGAGGGGCCCGGTTGGGTGAGGGGGAAAAGGCCCTGTCGCGACAGAGCCGTGATTTTCCTGAGGGGGAGGGCGGGAGGGGGTTGGGAGTGAGGGGAAAGGAAGGGAAGGGAAAGGGGGAGGTTGAGGGAAGGGGAAAACCAATCAGGGTTTTTTTTTTTTTTTTAAAATCCTCCGGAGGAAGGGGGGTTGTTTTGTTTTTTTTTATTTCTGGGGTGGGTGTTTCTGGGGTTTTTGGGTTTTTTTTGTTGTTTTTTTTTGAAATTCGGGGCGGACTCACCGTGAGGGCCCGAGCGGCGCCCGGCGCGGGGTCTCCCAGGCGCCCCTGCACGGGCGGGGGTGGAAACCCCGCCCCTTTTCCCTCCCCCTCAGCGCAGGACCCCGCTTTTTTAGCGGTTCGCCGCGCCGCCTGCTCCGAAATGTTAATAAAAAACCCTCAAAAATCCGACTAAACGGAATAAAAAACGGGGGAAAAAGGGTTGGAGTTCACGGCGAAGGAAGGGGAGTCACCCCCCCCTAAAAAAAATAAGGTGGGAGGGGTTTAATTTGCATGAACCGCGCCCCGTTCAGCCGCGGCGGGACAGGCAGTGGGACGGACACGCCCCTCCCGAAGAAGTCGCCTCAGGAAAGACCCCCCCCACACACCCGCCCCCTCCGGGGTGATTTGCATAACCACGCCCACTGGGTGTGCGTTCCATCGGAAACCACGCCCATATATTAGCATAAACACGCCCCCGTGACGGTGATTTGCATAACCACGCCCATCAATGACAACTATGTTTCTAAACCACGCCCACACATCGTAGATTAGCATAGTCACGCCCCTCAATGCTTCATTTGCATAACCACGCCCACTAATGCCAAATAAAGGCATAAACCACGCCCACCACGTTAATATTAACATAAATAGACCGCTTTGGCCGATAATTTGCATAACCACACCCACTAATGAAAAATAAAGGCTTAAACCACGCCCACCACGTTAATATTAACATAAATACGCCTTCTTAGCCGATAATTTGCATAACCACGCCCAGTAAAGCCATAATTGGTTATAAAACACGCCCACCCGAGCGATATTAGCATGAACACGCCCCCTTGGCGGAGAATTTGCATAACCGCGCCAATTATGTCGATTATTAGCATGAACCACGCTCATTAAGGGATCAAACGACCCAGGCAGCGCTCATTTGCATAACCACGCCCCCTGAGCGGGCGCTAATCCCCGAAAATCCTAAAAATCACCTAAACCCCCCAAATTGCCCCAAAATGTCCCAAAATCCCCCCCAAAAATCCCTCCAAAATCGCCACTCCAAAACCCCCACAAAACTCCGAAAAATCCCCGAAAATTCCCCGAAAAAAAATCCCCGAAAATCCTAAAAATCACCTAAACCCCCCAAACTGCCCCAAAATGTCCCAAAATCCTCCCAAAAAATCCCTCGAAAATCTCCCCCCAAAACTCGGAAAAATCCCCGAAAATTCCCCAAAAATTCCCCGAAAAAAATCCCCGAAAATCCTAAAAATCCCCGAAAATCCTAAAAATCACCTAAACCCCCCAAACTGCCCCAAAATGTCCCAAAATCCTCCCAAAATCGCTCCCCAACCACCGAAAAATCCTTAAAAACGAACTCGAACTCCCTCTGAATCACCCCCAAAACTCCTCCAAACCACCTCTTAACACCCCCAAAAATCGCCTAAACCCTAAAAAATCACCTAAACCCCCCAAACTGCCCCAAAATGTCCCAAATCTACCCAAAAATGCCCCAAAATCCCCCGGAGGGTCCTCCCGCCCGCCAGGGGGCGCCTCCCTGTTGGGGGGCCAGAGCAGAAGAGTCCCGAGGGGGGCGCTCCCTCGCGTGGCGCTCTCACCCAATGGGAGCGCGCCCCGCGGGTCACGTGGGACGGAGGAGGGGGGGGGGGGCTCCCCAAGATGGCGGCGTCGATGGCGGCGCCGGGGCCGGAGAAGGCGAAGGGCGAGAAGGAGAAGGAGAAGGAGGAGGAGGCGAAGCGGCTCCTCAGCGAGGCCGACAGGAAGGTCCGCGGGGCCTCCTCTTTCCTCGGGGCGCTCTTCGGGTGCGTCCCGGAACGGGGGGGAACTGGGGGGGGTTTTGGGGGGGTCCCTGAGGGGCTTTGGGGGGTCCCTGAGGGGGTGTCGGATTGGGGGATTAGAGGGGATTAGGGGATTGGGGGTCCTGAGTGGGATTTGGGGGTCTGGGGTTGATTTGGGGGTCCTTGAGGGGTTTTGGGGGTTAGGGAGAATTGGGGGGTTGGAGGAGAACTGGGGGTCCCTGAGGGGTTTGGAGGGTCTGGGATTGATTTTTGGGATCCTGGGGTGGATTTGGGGGTTGGGATTTATTTGGGGGTCCTGAGGGGCACTTGGGGTTCCTGATTTGATTTGGGGGTCCTGAGAGGAGTTTGAGGGGTCTGGGTTTGATTTGGGGGTCCCTGAGGGGCTTTGGGGGTCCCTGAGGGGCTTTGGGGGTCCTGGGGGATTTGGGGGTCTTGGGCTTGATTTGGGGGTCCCTGAGGGGCTTTGGGGGTCCCAAAGTTGATTTTGTGGATTCTGAGGGCGTTTTGGGGGTCCCTGAGGGGCTTTGGGGGTCCTTGAGGGGTCTGGGGGTCCTGGGGGATTTGGAGGTCCTGGGTTTGATTTGGGGGTCCCTGAGGGGCTTTGGGGGTCCTAAAGGTGTTTTTTGGATCCTGGGGGGTTTGGGGGTCCCTGAGGGGCTTTGGGGTCCTAAAGTTGATTTTTGGATCCTGGGGGTATTTGGGGGTCCCTGAGGGGGCCTGGGGGTCCCTGAGGGGCTTTTGGGGTCCCTGAGGGGCTTTGGGGGTCCCTGAGGGGCTTTGGGGGTCCTAAAGTTGATTTTTTGGATCCTGGGGGGGGTTTTGGGGGGTCCCTGAGGGGCTTTGGGGGTCCCTGAGGGGCGTTGGGGGTCCTAAAGTTGATTTTTTGGATCCTGGGGGGATATTTTGGGGGGTCCCTGAGGGGCTTTGGGGGTCCCTGAGGGGCTTTGAGGGGTCCTTGAGGGGCTTTGGGGTCCCTGAGGGGGTTTTGGGGTCCCTGAGGAGCTTTGGGGGTCCCAAAGTTGACTTTTTGGATCTTGGGGGGGTATTTGGGGGGTCCCTGAGGAGCTTTGGGGGTCCCTGAGGGGTTGTCATTGATTGAGGGGGGGGAGGGGGGATTTTGGAGGGTTTTTCCCACCCCTAATTCCCATTTTTCCAGGTTTTCCAGGGGTTTTTCCCATCTCTGACCATTCCTGGACCCCCAATCCCCCTTTTTCCCACTCCTAAATCTGATTTTTCTCCGTTTTTTCCTGGATTTTTTTTTCACTTTTGAATCCCCCTGGATTCCCAATCTTCCTTTTTCATGTCCCTAATTCCCATTTTTCCCATTTTTCCAGGTTTTTTTCCCATCTGTGACCACTCCTGGACCCCCAATCCCCCTTTTTCCCACCCCTAATTCCCATTTTTCCCATTTTTCCAGGGGTTTTTCCAGGCTGGAGGAGCCCTGTGAGCCCCCCTGGATTCCCAATCTTCCTTTTTCCCTTCCCTAATTCCCATTTTTCCCATTTTTCCAGGTTTTTCCCATCTGTGACCATTCCTGGACCCCCAAACCCCTTTTTCCCTTCCCTAATTCCCATTTTTCCCGTTTTTCCAGGGGTTCTTCCCGGCTGGAGGAGGCCTGTGAGTGCTACACCCGAGCTGCCAACCTCTTCAAGATGGCCAAGAACTGGAGTGGTGGGTCCTGAGCCCCAAAATCCTCGGGAATGAGCCCAAAATTCCTTGGGAATGGGCCCAGAATTCCTGGGAATAAGCCCCAAAATCTGTCAGGAATGGGCCCCCAAAATTCCTTGGGAATGAGCCCCAAAATCTGTCAGGAATGGGCCCCAAAATTCCTTGGGAATGGGCCCAGAATTCCTGGGAATGGCTCCTCAAAATTCCTCACAAATGGGCCCCAGAATCCCTTGGGAATGAGCCCCAAAATCCTTTGGGAATGAGCCCCAAAATCCCTTGGGAATGGGCCCCAGAATTCCCAGGAATGGCCCCCAAAATTCCTCACAAATTGACCCCAAAATCCCTTGGGAATGGGCCCCAGAATTCCCAGGAATGAGCCCCAAAATTCCTCACAAATTGTCCCCAGAATCCCTTGGGAATGGAGCCCCAAAATCCTTGGGAATGAGCCCCAAAATCCTGTACAGGCCCCAAATCCTTGGAATGGGCCCAGAATTCCTGGGAATGGGCCCTCAAAATTCCTCACAAATTGTCCCCAAAATACCTTGGGAATGGGCCCCAGAATTCCCGGGAATGAGCCCCAAAATTCCGTCGGAATGGGCCCTAGAATCCCTCAGGAATGGGCCCCAAAATCCTTTTGAAATGGGCCCAGATGAATGCTCCAAAATCCCTTGGGAATGGGCCCCAAAATTCCTTGGGAATGGGGCCCCAAAATTCCTTGGGAATGAGCCCTCAAAATTCCTCAGGAATGAGCCTCAAAATTCCTCGGGAATGGGCCCCAAAATTCCTTGGGAATGGGCCCAAAATTCTCAGGAATGGGCCCAAAATCCTCAGGAATGGGCCCCAAAATCCTTTGGAATGGGCCCAGAATTCCTAGGAATGGGCCCCAAAATCCTCTTGGGAATGAGCCCCAAAATTCCTTGGGAATGCAGTGCCTAGAATTCCCAGGAATAGGAACACCCTTAAAATTCCTCACAAATTGACTCCCAGAACATTCCTTGGAATGGGCCCAGAATTCTCAGGAATGAGCCCCAAAATCTGTCAGGAATGGGCCTCAAATACCACTCGGAATGAGCCCCAAAATTCCTTGGGAATGAGCCCCAGAATCTATCCGCAATGGGCCCAAAATTCCTGGGAATGGGCCCTTAAATTCCTCACGAATTGGTCCCCAAAATGCCTTGGGAATGAGCTGCCAGAATTCCCGGGAATGGAGCCCCAAAATCCTGTCAGGAATGGGCCTCAGAATATCCCTCAGGAATGGGCTTCAAAATCCTTTTGAAATGGGTCCAGATGAATCTCAAAATCCCTTGGGAATGGGCCCAAAATTCCTGGGAATGGGGCCCCAAAATTCCTTGGGAATGATCCCCAAAATTCCCAGGAATGAGCCTCAAAATCCCTCGGGAATGGGCCCAAAATTCCTTGGGAATGAGCCCCAAAATCCCTCGGGAATGGGCCCCAGAATTCCCAGGAATGGCCCTTAAAATTCTGGGAATGACCCGTTCTCCCTGTTTTCCAGAGGCTGGGAATGCCAGAAATGACCCATTATCCTTCTTTTCCAGGGGCTGAGAACGATCCTTATCCTTTTTCCAGGGGCTGGGAACGCTGGAAATGATGTGGAAAAGCTGGGAATGATCCCTGTGAGCATTCCAGAGGCCGGGAATTCTGGGAATAATCCATTATCCCTATTTTTTAGGGACTGGAAGTACCAGAAATGAGCCATTATCCCCATTTTTCAGAGGCTGGGAATGCTGGAAACGATCTGGGAACACTGGAAATGATCCAGGAGCATTCGGAATGATCTGGGAATTCCGGGAATGACCCATTATCCCTGTTTTCCAGAGGCTGGGAACGCCAAAAATGACCCATTATCCCTCTTTTCCAGCGGCTGGGAACAATCCCTGTCCCTTTTCCAGGGGCTGGGAACGCTGGAAATGATGTGGAAAAGCTGGGAATGATCCCTGTGAGCATTCCAGAGGCCGGGAATTCTGGGAATAATCCATTATCCCTATTTTTCAGAGGACTGGAAGTACCAGAAATGAGCCATTATCCCCATTTTTCAAGAGGCTGGGAGATCCTGTCCCTTTCCAGGAAATGATGTGGAAAAGCTGGGAATGACCCCTGTGAGCATTCCAGAGGCCGGGAATTCTGGGAATGACCCGTTATCCCTATTTTTTAGGGATTGGAAGTGCCAGAAACGATTCATTATCCCTCTTTTCCAGGGGCTGGGAGTGATCCCTGTCCCTTTTCCAGGGCCTGGGAACGCCAGGAATGATCCCTGTGAGCATTCCAGAGGCTGGGAATTCTGGGAATAACCCGCTATCCCTGTTTTCCAGAGGCAGGGAATGCCAAAAATGAGCCATTATCCTTGTTTTCCAAGGGCTAGGAGTGATCCCTGTCCCTTTTCCAGGGGCTGGGAATGCTGGAAACGCTGGGAATGACCCCTGTGAACATTCCAGAGGCTGGGAATTCCAGGAATAATCCATTATCCCTATTTTTTAGGGACTGGAAATGCCAGAAACGATTCATTATCCCTCTTTTCCAGGGGCTGGGAACGATCCTTATCCCTTTTCCAGGGCCTGGAAACACCAGGAATGATCCCTGTGAGCATTCCAGAGGCCGGGAATTCCGGGAATGACCCGTTATCCCTGTTTTCCAGAGGCTGGGAATGCCAAAAATGACTTACTATTCCTCTTTTCCAGGGGCTGAGAACGATCCCTGTCCCTTTTCCAGGGGCTGGGAATGCTGGAAATGATGTGGAAAAGCTGGGAATGATCCCTATGAGCATTCCAGAGGCTGGGAATTCCGGGAATGACCCGTTCTCCGTGTTTTCCAGAGGCAGGGAGCGCTTTCTGCCGAGCTTCCCGACTCCACGAGCAGCTGCAGAGCAAACCCGACGCCGCCTCCCGGCTCGTGGACGCCGCCAACGCCTTCAAAAAGTGCGACCCACAGGGTAGGGAGAGACATTCCCAAGGGAATTCCCGGGATTTGGGGTCCTGGGAGGGGCTGGGAGTCGGGAATTGTCCCAAAATCCCAGAAAATTGTGTTAAAATCACTCAAAATCCCACTAAAATTGCACAAAATTCACTTAAAATGCCTCAGAATCCTTCAAAGGTGTGGATCCAGAGGGTGAGGAGCAGCATTCCCAAAGGAATTCCCGGGATTTGGGGTCCTGGGAGGGGCTGGGAGTCGGAAATTGGCTCAAAATCCACAAAAATCCCATTAAAATCCCATAAAATCTCGTTAAAATTGCACAAAATCCCATTAAAATGGCATGAAATTTACTTAAAATTCCTCAGAATCCTCCAAAAAGGGGGTTCTAGAAGGGGAGGATCGACATTCCCAAAGGAATTCCTGGGATTTGGGGTCCTGGGAGGGGCTGGGAGTCGGGAATCCCATAAAATCCCATCAAAATCCCACAAATTCCCATTAAAATACAGTTAAAATTGCCCAAAATCCCATTAAAATGGCATGAAATTCACTTAAAATCCCTCAGAATCCTTCAAAAAGTGCCACCCACAGGGTAGGGAGAAACATTCCCAAAGGAATTCCAGGGATTTGGGGTCCTGGGAGGGGCTGGGAGTCGGGAAATGTCCCAAAATCCCATCAAATCCCATTAAAATTGCACAAAATCCTGTTAAAATGACACAAAATTCACTTAAAATCCCTCGGAATCCTTCAAAGATGTGGATCCAGGGGGTGAGGAGCAGCATTCCCAAAGGAATTCCCGGGATTTGGGGTCCTGGGAGGGGCTGGGAGTCAGGAATTATCCCAAAATCCTGTAAAATCCCATTAAAGTCCCATAAAATCCCATTAAAGTTGCATAAAATTCACTTAAAATCCTTCAGAATCCTCCAAAAAGATGGTTCTATAAGGGGAGGAGCGACATTCCCAAAGGAATTCCTGGGATTTGGGGTCCTGGGAGGGGCTGGGAGTCGGGAATTGGTTCAAAATCCCATAAAAATCCCGTTAAAATGGCACAAAGTCTCGTTAAAATGACATAAAACTCACTTAAAATCTCCCAAATCCCTCCAAAAAATCCAATCCAGAGGGTGAGGAGCGACATTCCCAAAGGAATTCCCGGGATTTGGGGTCCTGGGAGGGGCTGGGAGATGGAAAATGTCCCAAAATCCCACGAAAATCCCGTTAAAATCACTCAAAATCCCACTAAAATTGCACAAAGTTCACCTGAAATTCCTCGATGCCTTCAAGAAGTGCGACCCACAGGGTAGGGAGAAACATTCCCAAGGGAATTCCCGGGATTTGGGGTCCTGGGAGGGGCTGGGAGGTGGAAATCCCATAAAATTCCACAAAAATCCCATTAGAATTGCACAAAATCCCCTCAAAACCCCCAAAAATTCCCAAAAATCCCCCCAAAATTCCCTCAAATCCCCCCAAAATTCCCAAAAATCCTCCCAAAATTCCCTCAAATCCCCCCAAAATTCCATTCCCTCGGGAATTCCCAACAATTCCACCCCCAAAGCCCCCCAAAATCCGGGAATTCCGGCCGGAATTTCCCCCCCCAGGCCTGGAGGGGGCTCTTTTTTCCCTTTTTTCCCTTGGAATTTGGCTCCCAACCCTTTGGAATTTGGCTCCCAGCCCTTTGGGCTTTGGCTCCCCTCCGGAATTCCGGGATTCCCGCGGATTCCGAGCAGATGGAGCCGCAGTTTTTGGGTGGAATTCCCGCGGTTTTGGCTTCCGGCGGAATCTGCGGGGGCGGCTCCGACTGCCCGGAATTTTGGGGGCTTTAATTCCAAAGCTTTTGGGATTCCAGTCCCGGGAATTTTGGACCTTCATTCCAAAGATTTTGGGGTTCCAACCCCTGGAATTTTGGGGTTCAAATCCCTGGAATTTTAGGCCTTAATTCCAAAGATTTTGGGGTCCCAATCCCTGGAATTTTGAGGCTCCAATCCCTGGAATTTTGGACCTTAATTCCAGAGATTTTGGGGTTCCAACCCCTGGAATTTTGGACCTTAATTCCAGAGATTTTGGGGTTCCAATCCCTGGAATTTTGGGGTTCAAATCCTTGGAATTTTGGGGCTCCAGTCCTTGGAATTTTAGGGCCTCATTCCAAAGATTTTGGGGGGCTCCAATCCCTGGAATTTTGAGGCTTTAATTCCAAAGGTTTTGGGACTCCAGTCCCGGGAATTTTGGACCTTAATTCCAAAGATTTTGGGGTTCCAACCCCTGGAATTTTGGGGCTCCAATCCTTGGAATTTTGGGGCTTTAATTCCAAAGGTTTTGGGACTCCAGTCCCGGGAATTTTGGACCTTAATTCCAAAGATTTTGGGGTTCCAACCCCTGGAATTTTGGGCTCCAATCCCTGGAATTTTGGGTCTTTAATTCCAAAGCTTTTGGGACTCCAATCCCTGGAATTTTGGGGTTCAAATCCTTGGAATTTTGGGGCTCCAATCCCTGGAATTTTGGGGCCCTCATTCCAAAGATTTTGGGGTTCCAATCCCTGGAATTTTGGGGCTTTAATTCCAAAGGTTTTGGGGCTCTGATCCCAAAGATTTTGGGGTTCCAAACCCTGGAATTTTGAGCCCTCATTCCAGAGATTTTGGGGTTTGAATTCCTGGAATTTCAGGGCTCTGATCCCAAAGATTTTGGGGGCTCTAATTCCTGGAATTTTGAACCCTCATTCCACAGGTTGTGGGACTCCAATCCCTGGAATTTTCGAGCTCTGATCCCAAAGATTTTGGGGGTTCCCCCCCTTTCTCTCCAGGGGGGATTCTTCCCTTGCAGGGACTTTTCCCCCTTCCCAGTTTTCCAGAGGGTGTTTCTTTCCCCCTTTCCCCACTTTTCCAGGGCCTATTTTTCCCACTTTTCCAGGGGCAGTTTCCCTCTCTTCCCCTCATTCCAGAGGGTGTTTTCCCCCTCTTTCCCTGCATTCCAGAGGGTGTTTTCCCCCTCTTTCCCTGCATTCCAGAGGGTGTTTTTCCCCCTTTTCCAGTGGCTGTTTTTCCCAGTTTTCCAGAGGCTTTATCCCCCTTTTTCTCTGCATTCCAGAGGATGTTTTTCCCCCTTTTCCCCTCATTCCAGAGGGTGTTTTTCCCCCTTTTCCAGGGCCTGTTTTTCCCACTTTTCCAGGGGCTGTTTTTCCCAGTTTTCCAGAGGATGTTTTCCTCCTTTTTCCCTGCATTCCAGAGGGTGTTTTTCCCCCTTTTCCAGCAGGTTTTTCCTCCCTCTTTTCCCACTTTTCCAGGGGCTGTTTCTCCCCTTTTCCCCCCACATTCCAGGGGCTGTTTTTCCCACTTTTCCAGAGGCTGTTTCCCCCTTTTTCCCTGCATTCCAGAGGGTGTTTTTTCCAGTTTTCCAGGGGCAGTTTCCCCCTTTCCCCTGCATTCCAGAGGGTGTTTTTCCCCCTTTTCCCCACATTCCAGAGGGTGTTTTCCCACATTCCAGAGGGTGTTTTTCCCACATTCCAGAGGGTGTTTTCCCCCCTTTTTCCCACATTCCAGAGGGTGTTTTTCCCCCTTTTCCCCACATTCCAGAGGGTGTTTTCCCCACATTCCAGAGGGTGTTTTCCCCACATTCCAGAGGGTGTTTTTCCCCCTTTTCCAGAGGCTGTTTCCCCCTTCTTCCCCACATTCCAGAGGGTGTTTTTCCCACATTCCAGAGGGTGTTTTTCCCAGTTTTCCAGGGGCTGTTTCCTCCCTCTTTTCCCACTTTTCCAGAGGATATTTTCCCCCCTTTTTCCCCCTTTTCCAGGGCCTGTTTTTCCCACTTTTCCAGGGGCTGTTTCCCCCTCTTCCCCACATTCCAGAGGGTGTTTTCCCCACATTCCAGAGGGTGTTTTCCCACATTCCAGAGGGTGTTTTCCCCACATTCCAGAGGGAGTTTTCCCCCCTTTCCCACCATTTCCCCCCTGTTTTCCAGAGGCCGTGTCGTGCCTGCTCCGCGCCATCGACATCTACACCGACATGGTGAGCCCTTCCCTCCCTTCCCACGGAATTCCCAGCAGGAATTTCCCCTCCAGGGGGGGTTCTGCTCCCTCTGGGATGGCTTTTCCCGGTATTTTTTTGGGATAATCCCGGATTTTCCCCCCCTGGCAGGGCCGGTTCACGGTGGCCGCCAAGCAGCACGTGGCCATCGCCGAGATCTACGAGGGCGACCTCGTCGACGTCCACAAGGTCAGGCCGGGGATTCCCGGGAAAAACGGCTCGGGAATGCCGGGAATTCCCTCCCTGGCACCTTGGGAATCTTCCCCCCAAAAAAATTCCTGGAAAAATCCAGCCTGGAACGGCCCAAAATCCCGGGATTTGCAGCTTTTTTTTTGGGGGGGGGGCTCCGATCGTGAAGGGTTTGGGGTTCGGATCCTTGGAATTTTGGGGTTCAAATCCTTGGAATTTCGGGGTTTAAATCCTTGGAATTTCAGGCTCTAATTCCAAAGATTTTGGGGCTCTGATTCCAAAGGTTTTGGGGCTCCAATCCCTGGAATTTTGGGGTTCAAATCCTTGGAATTTCAGAGCTCTGATCCCAAAGATTTTGGGGCTCCAGTCCCTGGAATTTTGGGGCTCTGATTCCAAAGATTTCGGGGCTCTGATCCCAAAGATTTTGGGGCTCCAGTCCCTGGAATTTTGGGGCTCTGATTCCAAAGATTTCGGGGCTCTGATTCCAAAGATTTTGGGGCTCAAATCCTTGGAATTTCAGGTTCTAATTCCAAAGATTTTGGGGCTCTGATCCCAAAGATTTTGGGGCTCCAATCCCTGGAATTTTGGGGTTCAAATCCTTGGAATTTTGGGGCTCTGATTCCAAAGATTTGGGGCTCCAAACCCTGGAATTTTGGGGTTCCAGTCCCTGGAATTTTGGGGCTCTGATTCCAAAGATTTGGGGGTTCGATCCCTGGAATTTTGGGGTTCAAATCCTTGGAATTTTGGGGCTCCAATCCCTGGAATTTTGGGGTTCCAATCCCTGGAATTTTGGGGGTCAAATCCTTGGAATTTTGGGGCTCTGATTCCAAAGATTTGGGGCTCCAAACCCTGGAATTTTGGGGCTCAAATCCTTGGAATTTTGGGGCTCTGATTCCAAAGATTTTGGGGCTCCAATCCCTGGAATTTTGGGGTTCCAATCCCTGGAATTTTGGGCCCTAATTCCAAAGATTTTGGGGCTCCAAACCCTGGAATTTTGGGGCTCAAATCCTTGGAATTTCAAGGCTCTGATCCCTGGAATTTTGGGGCTCCAATCCCTGGAATTTTGGGGTTCAAATCCCTGGAATGTTGGGGTTCAAATCCTTGGAATTTTGGGATTCAAATCCCTGGAATTTTGGGGTTCAAATCCTTGGAATGTTGGGGGTCAAATCCTTGGAATTTTGGGGTTCCAATCCCTGGAATTTTGGGCCCTAATTCCAAAGGTTTTGGGGCTCCAATCCCTGGAATTTTGGGGCTCAAATCCTTGGAATTTTGGGGCTCTGATCCCAAAGATTTTGGGGCTTTATTCTCATTTTATTGGGTTTTATCCAGGTTTAATCAGGTTTTATTGGGTTTTATTGACTTTTATCCTCATTTTGTTAGGTTTTATTCTCATGTTACCTGTTCTTATCCAGGTTTTATTCAGGTTTAATCAGGTTTAATCAGGTTTTATTGGCTTTTATCCTCTTTTTATTGGCTTTTTTCCAGGTTTTATCCAGGTTTTATCCAGGTTTTATCCAGCTTTAATCAGGTTTTATTGAGTTTTATTCTCATTTTATCCAGGTTTTATCCAGGTTTCATTCAGGTTTAATCAGGTCTAATTGGGTTTTATTGGCTTTTATCCTCATTTTATTGGGTTTTATCCAGGTTTTATCCAGGTTTAATCAGGTTTTATTGGGTTTTATTGGGTTTTATCCAGGTTTTATCCAGGTTTCATCCAGGTTTAATCTGCTTTTATTTGGTTTAATCCTCATTTTATCCAAGTTTAATCAGATTTTATCCCAGTTTAATTCAGTTTTATAAGGTTTTATCCCTATTTTATAAGGTTTAATCCAGGTTTTATTTGGTTTTATCCTCATTTTATCAGTTTTTATCCCA